ATAAAATGTAATATGGGAATTCTCATCCTAGAGTGAAAGGAACATGAATAAAAGGTTATATGATTATAGCAAGTTAGGTGACCAAAATCAAAAACTTCCTTATGGCACCTTCTTTCCCAACTTGCAAAAGATTTGGCTTATAACAAAAGGCGATATGGTCTAGACCAAAAAAAAAAAAAAAAGGAGATATGGTTGTCGCAAGCTGGCATTATCTATATCCTCCGTACTTCATCCATAAATAGGACGCTGATGTTGGGGCAATGACAGGCCACAATGGTGAATACATCGGCTAAGCTATTATTTATTTATCTTTTATTTCTCCTTAGTTGCGTAAGAGATGTTTGGGGCAAGACACATGTTGAGATCAATAACAATTTGCCAGGTGGAACTATTCTAACAGTTCATTGCAAATCCAAGAACGACGATCTCGGAGTCCATGATATAACGAGCAAATGGGAATTCTCATTCCGACCCAATTTCTGGTTGACGACTTTGTTCTTTTGCAGCTTTTCGTGGCCAGGTCAATTGAAGTGGTTTGATATATATAAGGCTATGAGAGATGATTGCAACAAGTGTGTTTGGAAGATCTCGCCCGAGGGTCCTTGTAGGCTCAAAGGAGACACCGGACAGGAGCAATGGTGTTTTCCATGGAATATTCCTGCAGAATTAGGAGAGAAACCTCTTTTGTGAACGTATGAGAGAGAGAGATATGATGTTGTCAACTGATTCATTACGATTTAGGTGGAATAAGAATTATCTTAGTTATCTTTTAAATGAATATACGCACATGTGTGTTTCTTCTATCATCCTCATCATTTTGATTTCGATTGCCATCTCTTTCTTCTCATGTTGTCTCTTTTTTTTGTGCCGTTCTATGTCGAAGCGGACGTGAAGTCTACCTTCCCCATCCAAAGCCCCCTAAATTCCTCTCAATTATTTGTCTTCCCTAGGAGGAAGGAATACAAGAAGAACTTATAGGGAGATTTCTACACCGTACCGATGAGTTCCTTTCCCTATCTCCTTTGAGCCTTTTAAAGTCTTGCTCAAGACATTATTATTATTATCCTTTATTATTGCAATCATGATACTTCAATGTAAATCTTTTTTGATAAAAAAAAAGGTTAATAAGTATCAAGTCATGCCGGTTTGGATTTCTAACACTAGTGTTGTATCAAGAATTAACACCCTTGAGTTCATAAGTATGTAAAACAATCATTGAAAATCTTGATAGGAGGCATTTTGGAGTTGACGATATTTTGGGCCATTGATCTTGGAGTGATCCTAAAATTAAGCAGGCAACGAGAGATTTGCAATGGCCACTTCAGGTGTAGGCCATTTGAGAGAAATGATGACATTCTTAACCTTGACTTCAAATAATGTTGAGAATATGTCACGAAATTAAACCCGTAGATGAATCCGATCCAAGAAAGTTTCCTAACTTGAGGAGGCTTCTTAATGGGATAAGTATACTAGAGTTCTAAACTTATCGCAAAATTGCAATTCAGTAGTAAAATTTTCAATAAATTTTGTTTCATTGGTTCAATCAAGTTTCTTTATTAAGTCCATCCAATCTGGCCCAATGAAAAATGCTGAGCTGGCTTATTTTATCTCTCTCTCTCTCTCTCTCTCTCTCTCTCTCTCCGACATCCTTATTTTACAGGCAACGTTCTCTGAGCCCTAAAACATCAATGAATTGGTACAAGTCATCTTCTGGATCGAAAACGTTTTCAGAGTGGTCTTCTCTTCGTCGCGTCCTCTTCTTCGTCGAGTCATCTTCTTCCTCCTACTCCTCTTGTTCGTCCAAGCCGAAAACCGAGATAAAAGGAAAGCTAGCAGAGAAGCTGCTAGAATTGCTATATCTTGTAAAAAGAGGATATGAGCTTGTCCAATAGGGTTGAAAAAACAATCATCCTCTCCTGAACATTTCCTTGCTGTCATTGGACCAAACTCCTCCTCGTCTTGCAGTATGAATCACGCTTGTTTAGAGCATAGTTACAAGAAGGAACTTTAAAATGCGATAAATTTTGATCATGGCTAAGTAACTTTGCCGAGGGGTCATCGGCAAAGACAACGATTCGCAATTACATGACTTCACTTGTGTTGTGTATTCGCAAAGATTGTACAGTCATTGAGGGTATTCAACAAGGAAGTTCGTTCTACACGGGGAGAATATGCATTTTTGGTGTCAAACTGGTTTCCCATTCCGAGTAATTTGTTTTTGAAGAACTGTTTCTAAAAGTCGAAAATTTGCTTTCGACAATTCAACCCCAAATTGCCTTGTAGAACTGAAAATTTCAGAAAGCGCAAAATGATAATTCAAAAAAAGGGTCTAGAAAAGGGGCAGAATAGCTCAAGGACTAGAGCATAGATAAGGTGGCATGATAGACCTGACTGGTTTTCTAACTATGGAGATTAGCCTCCAACTTTAAATACAACAAGCTGCTGGTCCAAAAGAGAGAGTAGACGGTACATTCATAGCAACTGCTCCAAGGAACCAACTGCACAAGTGGAGACCCAAATGTCTAGAAGGACAACAAACCAACCTGCAGCTTCAATTGTCTTTTTTCAATCATAGGAGAAGTTGCTACTTGCTAGTGGCTTAGTGCATCGATGGAGACAGATCGGTGATCGCGCATACCTGCAAGAACTTTGTGTACTCTTTCTGCAAAGATGCCGGTGAACTTTGCCTTTCTCCGATACGCATTTGTCTTCCGGCCTTTCATGCCATTATCAAAACTTTTCACATCTGAAACCTGCCCTTCCTGCTTGTATGATATGTGACACCAATAAAGGGCGCCTATGAAGGTCGAAAACTAGCTGCAGACCTAAATTCAACAGAGCTCCAAACCATTCAAGATACAATAGTCGAGATTATGGAAATTATATGTATTCAACACATTTTCAAATTTCTGTTATCTGCTTCCTCGGCTACGGATGCCACGGCACAAACAACCAAACCCATTGCTCTCCTCTACCAAATCAAAATTCCTACTTTAAGCTAGGCTGTATGAATATATACACAATATTGCCAAATAGCACACACGAAGCATGTGCTGTTCCTGAATTAGCAAGCGCCGTCACATGCTACAGTTCTTAACCAAAAAAAAACCAAACCCAATTACCAGCACTCGTTTGGGCCATTAGAAAATCATAAGAGACAGGAAGAACACTTTTTAGTTTGATTCTCTTTCAAAGTAGAACGTTTCAACCAGTTAATGTTAAAGCCAAACTATTTATGCAAATCATACATGTGTTAAAGCCAAAAGTATATATCACCATGATCCCACGCCAATGCCTTTCTTGGTTTTTCTCCTCGAAATATACCAAACAGTTTATCTACATAAATCAAACTGGAGTCTTCCAAAAGAAACATTGCAAATTAAAAAACTTCAGTACCAACAAAGTAGTAGATGCACATAAATACATGGTAGCCAGAACTTATTATTAGCAAAATTATACGTGGTACACTCAACATCTGGAGATGGTGGACCAATTCAAGCACAGAAGCTTTTGATGTCAAGAACACATCACTTTGATGTTCTATGACTGTTAATAAAAGAGAATAAGTCTAGAAAATTGACAGAGAACATCCATATATCAGACTGTACAAGCTGCTGAAGACATCAAAAAGCTCCCTCCCTCCCTCCGGCCCTCCCGCCCTCCCTCCCTCCCTCCCTCCCTCCCTCTCTCTCTCTCTCTCTCTCTCTGAATGGACACACATACTCTGACAACCGGGAAGGAGATCAACAGACACAAATAGAATGCTGTACAGAATGCACAATCATGAAGGTCCCTTCGCATGAAAAAAAGGCCAAATGCAAAGATGCTACCTTCTCTGCTATCCTCTCCTTGGAAGCCATGTAAAAGAAATAAAAAAACCAATAATATGGAATATCAAAGCCGATAGAGATAATCACTGTGGAACTTGCAAAAGAGGAAGAATGCCTGAATTGGTCCACCATAAACTCCATGGAACAGGGAAAAAAATGAAAAATGTACTAAAAGCAGAAACTGCGAGAAGGATGAATGGATCCTTTAAATTCCCAGTCAAAAGGAGAACAGCGGCACCGACAAGCAGAACACAGCAGAGTCCCGTTCTTTTCCCCTACCTTACATTAACCATGATATAAATGGCTGTTCAAGAAGGAAGCTCCAATCAAGAATGAAATGGTGAGTTAAGCTCAGAAATCAACGAAACGATAACCAAGCACATGGGAACCCATTAAAAAGAAAAAGGTTTGCTGAAGAATAAAATGCCAACTTTCATCTCACATCACCCAGAATTCTAATTATTCACTAAAAAAAACTGGCCCTGAAAAAACCATTGCTGCTTAAGCTAGCCAACAACCATGACCTGTATCCTGGATTATGCTCAGCATAGCTGACACAGTCAACACTCCATAAAGTATCAAGTTAGAATGATAAAAGGAGCTTATCTAACTAATCTAAGGTCTTTCTAACTCCAGGAAGACGCTTAGTGGGGGCATCCCAAGCTCTAACTATATTTTAACCTATAGTATCTGTCACCACTAGAAAAGACAATTAAACAAAGAATGTTATTGAGTTCAATCGCCAAAAGGAGTACAAAATTAAAAAACCTAGATTAATCATACTAAGACTCCACATAGTATTACAAATATGTCAGCCCCAGAGGAAGAGAACGGTTCAGTAGACAGTGCATGGATCTTCTCATTAACAGACAGTGCATGGATCTTCTCATTAACATCTTTTTCAACTAAATACAATGGTTCGACTCAGGAAAAGAAGGCATGCATAGGTTTGAATACTTTACCTTCTCCTCTTTAACACCATGATGCTGAAAATGAAACACATTTTCTCTTCCAACTCCACCATCCTTCAACATCTCGAAATTAAGTCATCAAGTTTACCAAAAACTTCATCACCAGAACCAATCATCAACAAAATAGATAAAGCACGAGAATAAACTCCCATGCAAATGTGCAGTTGCAAGCATAAAAAGTGAAAAAGTCCAAGCAAACTTAAAGAGAACTCCTCATGTTTTATCAATAATCCATCTCAGGAAAACCAGAAGATCCCAAGGAGTAAAAAAAAATAAAAACCACCGGAGAAGTTAGAAAAGGTTGCTACATAATATACACTAGCTTTACTACAAGATCAAAGACTGGGAGAACATGACAAGGGAATTGCCAGTTCCTCCACAGGTTAAAATACAACAAACAACCATGCCAGAGAGAGCTACAAAGAGCAACAAAGAAAGCAGCCTTACTACCCTAAGCAGCCTTAACCTTATCGTCATTGACCACAGAAAGTATGGGCAAACTGCTCAGGAACTCATCAAGCCCTTCGAAAAATTCTGTCCCTTCGCTATTATCCTCCTCACCATTTCCAGCCCTATTCCCTTGACTCACAACTCTTGCAGGCTCTTCCACCTCATTACTGAACTCCACATTCAAATCCAACTTACCCATTCCCCCTTTCCCAGTCTGTTTCCTTGTAGAACTCCCCGTCGCCTTCTTACTCGACTCTGTCGACTTCTTACTCGACTCCGTCCTCTCCCCACCTTTCGCAGCAGTCCCACTAACCACATTATCCCCACCACCAACATCTCCCTGCTCACCCGCATCCGCATTCCCTCTTCTTGTTCTCTCTATTGGCACTCTGTTAGCAGCACTTTTTCTCCCCTGACTCTTCCTACCGACTCTCCTTGTCTTTCTTTTACTCCCCCATTCTTCACCAGAATCATCACTCGATTCCGAAAGCTCTACATAAACGTCGTCGTCGTCGTCATCATAATACACCCTTGGGGCAGGTCTCTGCCCAGCACTCCCACCTTTTGGCCCTCCCTGTGTGGTTCCTTGCCCAGGAGCAGGGCATGCAACCATATGCGACATAGGCATCCAACCAGAGGCGCCCTCAGTTCGACTCGGTAGCCCCGGAAACCCAATCGGGAAGAACCCCCAGCAAGAAAAGTGCGTGTCCTTCTCGGACACCGGCGGCGACGGCATCGCCACCGCTTGAAACGCCCTCTTGCAATTCTGGCACTTGAGCACGCACTCGGCATAAACCCTAGGGTACTCATAGAGATAGAAACAGTAGGGGCACGCGGTCCAGAAGCTGGCCGACACCGACACGGTGGCCTGGCTCGCGGGCCGGGTAGCCCGAGGCTGCACCGGCGTGCCGTTCCCGAAAACCGGCCTCTCGTCCTCCGCCGGCGCATTCCCATCGGCGCCCCTAACGCTTCTAGACGGAGGCGTCTGATTCCCGAGCTGCCCCAGCAAGCTGAGCTTCAATTCGTTGTCGTACAATGCCTTCTTGCTAGGGTTCGACAGCACCGACCAGGCGTCGAAGGCGAGCCTGAGCGCCTGATCCGCGAAGGGGAAGCGGTTCCTGTCGGGGCTCAGGAGCAGGGCGAGCCGGCGGAAGTGGGTCGCGATCAGCTCCAGGCTCTGGGTCAGGTGGCCGAGCTGGAGGATCGCGTACCAGTCGGGCTCGCCGCCGCCGCCGACGGCGCGGGGCTCGCCGGCGAGGAGGGTGTCGACGACGGCGAGCATGTGGTCGGCGTCCTCGAGGCCCGGGTCGGACTCGCGGGCCCGCATCGCGAAGGTCCGGGCCCCCTGGAAGTCGCGGGTGGCGAGGAGCTTCGCCGCCGCCGTCAGCCACCGCTCCGCCTCCGCCCTGTGGCCCTGGCTGCCGCCGCCGTCCATGTCAGTCTCGGCCTCCCTCTCTCTCTGAAACTCTCTCTCTCTAGAAAAAGATCCGAACTTTTTCTCCGAGAGCTCGTTCGGGCAGGGCTCCGGAGAGAGAGAGAGAGAGAGAGAGAAAGTGGGGGACGGTCCTCGTGGGTGGGGGGGGGAGAAAAGAATGACGAAAGAGGACGGGGGAGGGTCGGGGGAATTACGGATCAACCGGGCAACGACGGCGGGGAGGGCGGGGGCGTTTCGGTCATTGCGCGGTGACGAGGAAGGACGGTGGGGTGCTTGCTTTTTGGTGTTAACGTTGTCAGATTCCGGGGAGGGCGAATGGAGGGGGTGCCACTTGGGGAAGACGAGGAGGAGGAGGAGGAGGAGCAGATGCTGACTGACAGGTCTTGGAGTAAGTGCACTGCTGCTGTTGCTGGTGATGTGAAAAATCTTGTGTGTTTTTTTTTTTATGTTTTTTACAATACATGTGTTTTGGATTGACTGTCACACTTTGATTCTGTTTCTTCTTTGTTTCCTTTTTTTTTTCTTGATTCACTGAAAAAAAAAGTTTACTATAAAAAAAAAAAAAAGAGCACTCTTCTTGCTAAGGTGAGGCCTCCGGTATGGCCGAAAATGGGTGCCGACCCGGATAGCGAAAGATGGCACCGATGATCCACGGGAGGACCCCAGAACCCTCGATCGAAGAGTTGGTTTTCTGGTTTTTTTTTTAATGGGGTGGCGGTTCTGGGTAGGAACTCGATGGCCGGGCGTTGTCACGGAGATGAGAAGCCAAGTTTGAAAGATGAAAGACGGTGGATGAACGGTGATGGAGATTGAAAAAGGTAACGATATTAATGAACCGAGAAAGCAAAAATCGAGGGGGTATAAGTTTCGATGATGATGCTCCCTTCCATGATTACGCGATACCATTTTATATAACTCATTAATTACGGCCCGTTCACTAGTAGTTATTGCGCTAAGTACGGTTACAACCGTTCTTCATATTTGGCGAGGCTTATGACAAAATGGTTCGGCGATGATGCCGGTGGCGGCGACTAATCTTGGGGTTGGTGGAATTGGGTTTGGGTTTGGGTTTGGGTGTGGTAAGAAATTTAGGATTCGGGTGGGGGTAATGTGAGAAAGGAAATGACATTATTGCAAGCAACCTAGATGTGAAGGATGCAAGATAATTTCCAAAGTTAATGTTCAAGATGCAAACAGGTAGCTTTAAAAGTAGATGAAGTAAGCATTAATGAGACGAAATACGGAGATAGTCTTTGACATTTTCCCTTATTCAAATCTTGCGGTGCACGAGTTTTGCCTTTTCTTTTTCACATAAGACTTTCATAACGTAGAAAATGACGACACAACAACTTATGTAAACTTTTTTCATAATCTTTTAAAATCGAGAAAAAGCCACCAAAAACTCCAAACTATGTTCACTGTGACGCATTTATCCTTAATTTTCTTTTTGTGACAGAAAAAATCGCAAACTATGCTTGCCGTGACACATTTACTCTGAACCTTTTTTTGTGGCATAAAAAATCCTAAACTTGTGTGTATATATATATAACACATTTACCCTTTTATCAAGGTTCCGTCAGATAATTTTTCAGCCAAAATAAAATCGTTTTTATTTCACTTAAGTCTCGTAAACGCCATGTCAACATCGTTTGCCTTCCCGACATCCATATAGGCAAACTTTTAACGATGCTCATTGACGAAATCTTGATGAAAGGTAAATATGTCGCACGGTTACAAGTTTGGGATGTTTTGTGTCACAGAAAAAATATTTAAGGTAAATGTATCATAGTAGACATAATCTGGAATTTTTAGTGGTTTCTCCCCTTTAAAATTTGAGTTGTACTTTGGATTTTGGTTGAAAAATAAATAAGAAAATTTACCGCTTTGAAAATGACACAAATGGTCCATGAATTCTGGCTCAATGTACAACGTAGTCCCCGGACAATTAATTCGTTCAATGCGGTCCATCAACTTTCTCCCAATGTATAATATAATCCATAAATTTTTAATTTGTTCAATATGATCCATGAACTTTCGGTACATGTTCATTTTAGTCCTTGGACTATATGAAATTGTTCAATGCTATCCCCGATCTTAAATTAATAAAAAGATGACATCGAACATGTACTGAAAGTTCATGAATCATATTAAATACGTCCGGTTAACATTAAGGAATCACGTCGAACGGCCTTTGCGTCATTTGCCCCGTCATGTGCTGGACAAAAGTCGGGATCACCCATCGTGCCACGCCCCGATTGCATTGACTTTGCTTCGCTCGCGCGGGACTCGGCACGACGACGCACTTCTATCCCCACCTTTCTTGCCATTATTTTCCATCATCTTTCCAGGACATTGTCATATCCGATGACCCCTTATCTGTGTCAGAGAATGGTTTTAAAGAAATACCATCAGAACCCTCTTGGATCTCAAGAGATTGTGCTTTCGATTACTTCATCTTCAGGCACCGCAGAACTCTTAGTAGATGTTTCTAAAGAATCAACATGCTTTCCACTGAACTTGTTGAATTGTCTTCTCATGCCTTCCAAGGGAACAAGTCTTGAAAGTCTCCAGAAGGATTTTTGTACAGGGCCCAATCCTAGAACCAACTGTTCACCGTCGTTTCCTTTCTTTAATTTCTCTCTCGGTCCCTCTCGTTTCATCATTAGATTCTGGGAAGCTTCAGGATCAACTTCAGCAGTGTCAATGGCACTTGAGAATTATAATGATGAAAATAAGCAGGAGATAAAATACGGGCACCAAATCTTCCGAATACAAGAACTCTTGAAGAATTGCGCCACCCTTTTGTATTGACATAGCTGAAAGGAAGAAAAAACAGGCTCTAAGAAACATTATGAACTACAGTGTTTACCGAATTATCAATCAGAGCACATTCAAAAATTTTGATCATTAATAAAAGCAAGAACAAGGAAAGGTGAAGGAAAAGTGACAACCAATATCAACTTAAATCATGGTAGAAGAACTCTGCAACATACTCTCTTAAGGCGGCATTTCCAACAGGGGGCTGTGAGAATGTTACACATTTGACTGGAACTTTTTCAGTTTCCTTTGATGAAGAGGAAGCAGATATAACCCTCAAAATGGCAAGCGTAGCCAATGCTGCTACCTGAATGTACAGGAGAGGGAAGTAAACCAGATCATTAGTCTCGCAAAGCACATCTAGTTTATTGGTCAAACCCGAATTCCCGACTTCATATCCGTAAGTCAGCTAATAAACAGACAAAATTCGGCTCAACAATACAATTCGCACACGAAAAACTCCTTTTTGATCACAACCAGATTCAAAGAAAACTCTTTTTTTTTCCCTAAGCATCAACCACGCGGATCCGAATCGGAAAACAGGAACCGCAATCTCCACACGAACCGCAAGGCGGGAAAACCAAAAAGGAAATCGTTACCGATCGTGGGAGACAGATCCTCGAAGGTGTCGGAGGTGAAGCTCAAGAGGAGCGAGCTCTTCCCGACCCGAGTCCCTCGATCAAGAGCAGCTTTGAACGGTAATCGAACTCCAAGCAGCGGCCATGACGACGAGCGGCCGGGCGACAGCGCGGCGACGAGCAACGCGCGATGAGCGGCGAGCGCTGCGGCGACGAGAAACCGGAAGAAAGGGGACTCGCGAAGAGGAGGAGCGACCGAGCAGATTGAGAAAGGGGACTTGCACTCTCAATGCTAGGGTTTTTTACAGTAACTTAAAACCGGTTCTAAAACTCGGGTCGAACACCCTTTGCGTCATTTGCCCCGTCATGTGCTGGACAAAAGTCAGGATCACCCATCGTGCCACTGCCCCGGACAGAATTGACTTTGCTGTCTGCGTTCCCGGGTAAACCCGGTCCGGTTGCACACCCCTACGACGCAGCCCGTCGACCAATTTGCTAGCTCCCATCGAGAGAGAGAGAGAGTGAGAGGGAGAGATGGGGGAGGAGAAGGTGAAAGACGAGGCGCTGCAGATGATGGGCATGTTCCAGGTGCTGCCCAGGCTAGTCGTCTTCGATCTCGACTACACCCTCTGGCCCTTCTACTGGTTCGTCGCTCTCTCTCTCTCTCTCTCTCTCTTCCCAATTCCTCTCTCTCCCTTTCTTGTTCTTCTTTTCTTGCGGATTCTGCACGTATATATATATATATATTTCTGTGCCCTCTGGAAACCTTTCGTCATTTCGTCATCGTGCCCATCGCGAGCATCTCTGCATGAGATTCTGGACAAAACCCTCCTTTCGGGTCGAGTCGTCGCGACCGGACGAGGCGTTCGTGGGATGAATAGGGTTGGTGGCAAAATGGGAAATTTTAGCTCTTGGACGCTAATCCTGTTGGTGTTTTTGTTTCTGTGGATGTGCATGGGTTTGGGAAGATGGGCAGGAGTAATTTGATATCGGCATCGGTCGTAACTTGTGAATTAGTTTCATTTCTTTATCTTGATGTTTTCTTCTTTGAATCTTTCGGTGTTTGAGCTTCATGTGGTTTGGTATCAGCACCATTTGTATTCTGTAGCTTATGAATTGATTCTGATACATTTGCAGCTCGTTGAACTGCGCACCCTTCTGCAGCTGGAAGGTCTTTTTTGTGTTTCTGTTTTCTTTTTCCTTTTTCCGCATTCATTGGCTTTCTTATGGCCTGAGGGTCTTTTCGAAAGTACAATACAAAGATTTGGTGAATCCTGAGTGCTAGGCTGCCCTTTGGTTTTCATTTGATTTGATTTGCCTTTTGCATTGTGAGTAAAACGTTTTATAACTTGCTTGTTGCGGTTTCTTGCTAACGACCAGCGAATGTCGCTCCAAACGCGAAATGCCTGCTCTTTACCCCCATGCTAAAGGTATCCTTTCTGCCCTGAAAGACAAGGGGATCGATGTTGCCATTGCTTCGAGATCACCAACTCCGGATATAGCCAAGATTTTTCTGGAGAAACTTAGCTTGAAGTCGATGTTTGTTGCCCAGGTTGGTGTTTAGAACATAATTGTATCTACTCTATGCCGTCTTCACTGGTGTACATAGTGATTAGAGCATCAAGGAATTCACCTCAGTACTATATCATACACTGTTTTTTTGAACTATGTGGCTAAATGGTGATATTTTCTTGGTCAAGCTAGCTATAGCATTTCATTGATTCATCTGGCATGGGTGACGCAGATAATTACATGACTTTTTTCTCATCAAAGGTCGGACAAATTTGAGACAGAAATGATCTTAATCTGAGAAACTTAATCATGATGAATGGGATTAGAAACAATTACTGAACTGTCTGGCTAAGTGGCGGAAATTTTTAGTCAACCAGACGTGTCACAATATGTGAGAGATCTTGTAGAAGTTAGAGTTGCTGTTGGTTGAATGGAGTCCAGCCAATACGCATGCTTATCCATCTGGGTGTCTAGAACTATATTTCTTTGTTTATAGATAAGGAAAATTTCTAGATGCAAGGGGATCCTCTTGATCTGAAGCTTTCATGTCTTCAACTTGGTTCATTTGATTATTAGATTATTACACAGATGAACCCAACCCGTAATATGAACCATAAAAGATTCAGTTTTGGGCATCTCCACTCAAATAAATTTAAGATAGACTCTATCTATGTTGAGATCAGTCAATCATAACAAACAAGATCAATCAATGAAATTGATATTGAACCGCATGCTGACTCAGTGATTTTTTTTTTTTATTTTTGTGGTCAGACATAGTAGGGCATTTCCACTAATCTGTCAGCCATCTTTGATGCATTATAATCAACTGGTATACTTTTCATCAAAGGTCGAACAAATTAAGGGTATATGAAATAATAACATGCCAATTGTAGCTTTAGGAGAAATGCTTATGATGTTACCCTTCCTATACCAGATCATGGTGGTTTTGTCAAGCAATCATAGTCCTGTCAATTGTTGCCTTAGGAGAATTTGAATGATGTTATACATCCTCTACCAGACAATGTGGTTTTGTTGCGCAGTTGGAGTTTGTTGCTCTAGATGAGTTTGGATTATTCATAGTCTTTGGCTCACCTTTTTGGATTCAGATATGCTCAATTTTCTTTTTGCAATTATTCAGGAGGTTTTCTCTAGCTGGTCACACAAGACTGAGCATTTTCAGAGAATTCATTCAAGGACAGGGGTGCCATTCAGCTCAATGCTCTTCTTTGATGATGAGGATAGGAACATTGAAGCGGTAATTCATTAGTTAGACTAAATGTTTATTCCTGTTTTCTACATCATTTGTAGAGGTAGCATCTTGAACGATAAGTAATTTTTGGTTCTTATGGCTTTTATGGCGGATTTTCAATGACGCGATTGGTTCTTCATGCTTATTTTGTGGAAGTATACCTTTTACTTTTGCAGGTTTCAAAAATGGGAGTGACAAGTATTTTGGTAGGTAATGGTGTAAACCTTGGAGCATTTAGACAAGGGCTAGCAAAATTCTCTGAAAATTTTAATACAGTTGAGAAGAATAAGCAGAGATGGCGCACAAAGTTCACCAAAGATGCAGATTCATCTGAGAAGAAGTAAAGGAATTAAATGTAAGGTTCTGTGTGGATGGACTCTATCTAGAATGTACCGAAATGGCGACCAATTATACTTTACAACTGCATTGCAGTGTAAGCTACAATATTCCTTTTGCTGATAGAATAGACGAAACAGTGCATTTTTCCCTATTGATTACTTTAGATGGTAGTTTCCTCCTCCAACAGAAAGTTGAAAGTAGCATATCGAATGGTGGACTATTCAGGTGTGAATTTCGATTGAGTACTCACAATGTGGAAGTGCAAGTGACTGTAGAGTCATTTTGAGTTTCTCCACAATGTGCGACGTTTTATGGCATTTGCTTACCGTAGATAGTCCTTTCTTTGTTCAAGCTTAAAATGGTGGGGCAGACAACAACTATCTCTTTCAGTCAAGCCGGCGACATGCCTCGTTACTCTAATCCTGCTAGATAGGTTTTCTCTTTTGCATATCAATGCGATTTCTTGATCTATAGAAATCTTACACCATAGTAACAAAAGGGGATAAAAGCTACTTGTTTTGAAAGTGACAGATTTAAAATTGTGAAGTCCTGGTCGGAATACCACTTTGATCCAACGAGTGTGCCCGTGTGCGCATGTCCCTGTATACAGCGACTAGCAGGTGTCGACATTCATGATTAACCTTGAGCTGCCTCTTTCGGTTCATCAAAGTGCAATGAGCAATCTGTCTCTCTGCTCTTATGGCCATTCTATTGAAAAAGAGAGAATCTTGGTCTTGAAGCCTTGAATCTGTACCTATTACTCATTCTACGCGTATTTATAGATCCTAGTAAAAATGCAACTTATCGGAGGTAAACTGGCCTTGCCTTCGTTTTCATCTGCAAACTTATTCATATTGCTCGTAGAAAAATGTCACCCTGGCGACTTTGATCCCTCGTTCACTCTTTGATAAGAAAAGGCAATGTCTTACACGGAAGAGCAAATTTGAACATTCATCAACAAAAAGGTTCGGAATTTCGTACAAAGATGAGCTACTTTTCCACATTGTGACTAATCAATAGTCCCATTAACAGCTGAAAATAATGCAGAGCTCTACTGAATTACAGCTTATGCGAACATCTGAAATTCGGCAACCTCCCGTTCAGCCTGCCAAGATTCTTTGAAGATGCAAAATCCAGTTGAGGAATGTCGACAAATACATTGTTTCGTAATTGATCATCCTAGAAAAGAATCAAGAAGATTTTAATTTACAGAAACCATACAACTGCCAAACACCACTCGACAAAAGTTTAAGAAAGAAAGAATGATACTATTGCCGCAGATAGACAAGTACAAAGATATTAATGAAAAGAAAAGAAAGCAACACTCATGAGAATCGGGTCAGAATATCCGCAAAGATCATTTTCGCTGGTCTTTTGATTGGGATTCCAAGAAGTAGACGTCCCGCTAGTATCTCAATTTAAAGTGCCTTCACGCCGTCTCCACAATAAGCAATTGTTCAAGTTCTTCCCTGCGCCGTTCCAGGTCCTAAGATGGTAAAAGATACAAGTTATGAGCCCAAATACACCGTAACAAGCAATAAAGGCAGAAAAAGAAAACAAGGCTGTTAATGTGAAATTAGCCAACTAAATGTTGACCCTATTTTAAGCAAGTTTCACTTTTGAAGCCAGCACAGAAGACAATAACCAAGACTAAAACCAAAAGGAAACCTTGCGCTTAAGTGCTTGTTCAATTGAACTGATCTGCTTGGCATATACTAGACTCCGATGAAGTTACGTTGTGGTTTCAGTGGCAGATTCAATCGTGTTCGCAAGTTTCAATATGGTCAGGTCAGCTTCTGAATGCAAGTGCTAGAGGAAATTAAGCATAGTAGTGATCATGTATAAAATAAGAAGTGATCATCCGCAAGTGGAGAGACCACATATGATGCCAATGCTACATCTAGTAGAAAGATCACAATGACTGCCAATGAGCACTAACTATAACATTGTTTACCTCCAAGTCCTTCACTGCCTGCTCCCTTGATATTTCTTTCTTCTGTCGAGAGCGTTTCAAGAAGCCTATGCACAGAATTCCCTGTCAATCAATACCAAAGCAAAAGATTAAGCATCACTAAATTCCTCGGATCCAAATGTAATGGAAACTACAAAAGTGTGTTTATCCAGTCCACCAATAGAATCACATTCTTCATCAGGTGTTCTTAAACCGTAATTTGGAAAATACATGACAAGATCAGAAGCTGCAAATAATTGTCGTGAAAATGAAGGGCCTGTGGACTAACTATATTTGGCGAGATGTCTTCATCCCATAACACTACGGGATTTTAGTTTTCTTCTCAGATTAATTTGGGTTGCACAGAGGAAAAACCAAGGTCAACTTTGACAACAATATAATTACATCTTCAGGCATGCTAAGTGAAGCTACAACTTTGCTGCACATCATTTTTCAGGACCCTACCACACATGCTCAGGAAATCCTCTGAAATTATTACAATATTGGACTTTGAGCATATGATCACAACCAGTTCAGAGCAATAACCTTACCGAAACAACATATACCACACCACAAGCAAGGAGCATATAAGCTGCAATATTCTGAAGGAGAACAAGATCTTGCTGCTCCTCAGTATAGTTTGGGAAAGCTCTTGTCATCACCGCAACACTGGACAAAAAGGGACAACTATTTCAGAAGGCAAGTTATAAAAAAATTTTAACCCTAAATTTTACAAATGAGGTTCCCGGAACTTTCATATCGCAAACTAGATTATTCGATGCTTGAACCAAAACCATGTTCTAGACTGGACAAAATATCATTTTAAACTTGATATGTCCGTGGCTATATCAACCAGAACGCAAGTACAAATTGCTAGTATTTCATATTCTGATTGTGTGAAATTGATGACTGAAAGTGGGTCAATCTGGTAGGTCCATAAGACGACTCAAAGGAACCAAGAGGAGATAAAGGAGGAGTTTTTAACAGTACATACAAGATCTGCAGCATGCCCCTCCCAGCCCAATATTCCAAAACCTGAAAAACGTTCACCAAATTTGCTCATTAGGCAGGGCAGAGAGGGTACAAGCTCCAACAAGAACAATAACAGAAACTAAGAAGACAACAACTCATCTCAAGCATGCCAAGCAGCTAACAAAGTCCAGCAATCGATCTTTACTGGGAACTTTCTACTCTATGAGATTTGTCATATTGACAAAAGCATAGTCAGAGACTGGCAACTGGCAAGTGCAATTCTCTCTAGAATTTCTACACATTTTGCACGGGCGTGTCTGAAACTACAGTTCAAAACGCATCCGGACGATCCAAAGAGGAAAAACCAAAAACCAACCTTCCAGAATTTGACAATGAATCCCCACTCCGTCTCGGCGAGCACCACGAAGAACGCTATCAGCACCGCGTAACACCGGAATATGCCGTCGAAGACCTAGACACGACGACCCAGCACGACCATTAGATTCAGATAGCAATGAGCAACACGGCGCGCGCGCGCACACATAAACGGAGAGAGACGGAGAGACAGAGAGAGGGTACGTCGTATCCGTTCTTGAAGGAGCGGACGGCGGAGAGGACGTTGACGGCGATGCAGAGGATGGCGCAGATGGAGGTCAGGACGCTGAAGCACCGGCAGATGACCAGGAAAGGGTCGGGCCTCGCCCGGACCCTCCGGCCGCCCGACCCGCCGCCGGCGCTCCTCTGCGGCTGCAGCTGCGGGTGCGAGTTCTCCCCTCCCTCCGCCCCCTCCTGTCTCGCCATCTTCCTCAACCCCCCCTCCTCCGACAAAAGGATCTCCTGCAGCTCCCTACAAGAGCTCGCCCCTCACTCAACTGCTCCGAACCGTCACCATACGTCGCGCTCCGTGTATCTTGGGCTCCGGCTCACCGCCGGCGATCTTGGGCATGAGCGCGTGTCGAGCTCCGATCAAGAAAGCGAAGAGCTTTCTGGTTCGTAGCCGTCGTCGTCTTCCTCCTCGAGCGAGCTCGTCTGCTTCAGAGCGAAAAGCAGGATACCTTCACCTGCCATTCAAGGAAACTGAGGGAAAGCAGTTGGGCAACGGACACGTGGCGGTCGCGGGACCGGGGTGGAACTGGCACGTGGCAGTCGGACACTGGTGAAAATCGTACTCTACGCTTATCCACTAAAATTAAACATGAAAGTTTTGGAGACTACTTTGCACGTTCGCATTTATTATTCTCGTGTCCCCATATACAAAATAGAAAATATCACAGAAAATCATGTGCTATACCCACTAAAATTAAACATGATATTTGCGTTGATCGAAAAGTATTTTCCGTTGACCAAATCATCTTCGAAAGACCAAATAGATGAAAATCTTGAAAATACTTTCCGGGAAAATACTTTCACCAAAACAAGCACACCCTAAAACGTCGATACACCCCGAGCTTGTCTCGTGTCACCAGAAATCACGAAACTCGTGCCCGTGTGACAAATATACTCTTGCTTAAGTTGAAATCGGCATGTTAAAGGAGAAAATGTGATGTGGAATCATAATAATGCGTCAGCAGCTAATGTGGCGAGCACTTATTTATTCAGATATACTTACAAATTAACACATGTCAATTGAGTTGTAAGCAAATAAAGAAAAATTGTAAGTACGATTGTTTATCTCCTCTCCTCCTCCATCCATAACAATTGTTCCGCTTGGCCGTCCATTGAGTTGAGAATCAAGCTCAATCGTCTCCACCAGCCAAGTCTCCACAACCTCCATCCTCGATGCCCGCCACCTTTCCATATCCATTGCGTCGTTCCCTCCTTCCACCCTTTTATGCCGCACTTCTATTTACCATCCTTCTCTCTTTATCCAAGCTCATTATAATTTGTGTTTCGGCCTAATGCTGTTGTCGGGCTCGTCGCTGGTGGCAAAACTCGATGCGGCGTTGAGCTCCATGTTGGTCGACAGTGCCGCCGCTGGTCCAAGCGTGGAGTCGTGCCTACAGATCTGGCGATGGCGGCTCGTCCATGGCCATGAGCCTTGACAGAAAGGTCGAAATTTAGATGGTCATGGATGAGCCTCGGCAACTGGCAACATTGCGAGCTTAAAAAGCAGAATGGACAATAGTGGAATAGAGGTCGTGTTCGAAAAGATGGTGTCTACCACAAAGACAATATTGGGGTGGCTCGGCTTAGACGCGTAGCAGTGGTAGGCCTAGATGCAATGTCAACGACTCCTCGATTGTGATTTTGGGGGGAGGGTCACGTTGATCAACCTCAAATGTGGTCGTGGATGGAGGAGGAAGATAGAGAATGTTAAATATGTTTTGAATTTTATGTACTCGGTCCGATTGATGGCTCGACCCGACATATTTTTTGTGCGACCCGAAAGTGGAGAGAAAATTGAGATTTGGTTTGTGACGCGGAGGGTTGGGCTGATAGGCTCAACCTGGAGCAAGCGAACCAATGTCTCGGGGGATTCGGGGGCTACGCCCCCGAGGAAATTTTTTTGGGGAGCACTATTTATACCGCGGCTGGATTTTCTCATTGATGTACAGAGAGAATTTTGTTTTCTGAGAGTTTTGTGAGCCGTGAGCTTTTGTCGTTGTTTCGACTTCTGAAAAATGTACTCTCCTTTGATTATAGTGGAATCTTCTCTTGCCTCGCCCGTGGACGTAGATCACGTTGTGATCGAACCACGTAAATCCCTGTGTTCTGTTTTTGTTTTTCCGCATCTATTTCCAACAACAGAGAATAATCATATATTTTATTTTTTTTATTTAATTCGAGTAATTGGACATATGTTAATTTGTAAGTGGATCTGAATAAATAAATGCTTGTCATATTAGTCGCAGAAGTCAGATCCACGGAGGTCAGGCTCCAATGTGGCTGTGTATGGAGGAGGAAGATAGAAAATAATCATACTTTTTAATTTTTTTTATTTGATTCGAATTAATGGACACATGTGAATTTGTAAGTGGATCTAAATAAATAAGTGTTTTTTACATCAGCTACTGATACTGTGATACCACGAATATATTCACCAAAGCCACATAAGATTGCAGTCAGTTTTGCTTGCTTGCTGTTGTCCACGTTAGCTGCCGCGTAGAATTTTTGACAACCGTCTTGGATGGAATTGTGGCGGAAGATATATTTGTTACATTGGTACAAGTTTGGAATCTTTCGTGCCATAAAAAAAGAAGAAGTTAAGGTGTTGGTATCACATTGGCCATAGTTTAGGCCCTTTTCGGCATTCTTTAAAAAAAAATAAGATTCATGAGCGAGACTCCAAGGTTTCGTATGAATGCAAACCATAAAATTGACCCTATCAATCGATACCTTCAAGATTCTTTCTCCTCTTTTCCCTCTTATCTATATACTTAGTTAAACGTGCGTTTGCGCTCCCGGTTGTCCTCTGTCTCTTGCGAAAAGTAAACATAGGTGGAAGAAAAATATGTTGTACACACGAATGGAGTCCGATGAAGTTGAATGTCATCGTGCAATTTCAGATATAATCTGACATCATTATTAAAATTGCAAAGAATGTCGTACATTCATAATTACTGTCATTCTAAAATAAAATAAAATAAATTGTATTGAAAGTCCTAAATCAAAGTGCAATTTATTACTAAAACTTTTAAAAAGCGCAATCGAGTTATAAAACTTATCACCAAAATGTAATTAGATTCTAAAACTTTTAAAAAGTGCAATAAAGTCTTATAACTTGTCAAATTGGTTCAATCAAGTCTTTCCTTTTATTACACTTTTCAAAGTTTTAATACTCATTTACACCTTCGTGATAAATTTTAAGACTTAGGCAATATCGTCTTGTAAGAACGCCTTCCAACTCACTGCACCACTTGCTAATGAAAACACGTATTCCGCTAATGATCTATGGTCATCCAAGTCACCACCGTGATCCAAATACACATAACCTGTGGATTGCACGTTTTAAAAATTTTAGTACTCAATTACACTTCCGTGACTAGTTTTAAGACTTCGAAAACACTTTATTCCTCAAAAAATTATGGATCACAAACAACTAATTGATCGGCCATCAGAAGCCCTAATTCGGCTACTTTAATTATGAGAGGCCAGTCTTCTTTTTTTTTTTTCCGAGAAGTCGATTGTACAAGAACTTCCCCACAACCAAATATCAAAAGTCAATCATGATATAACTACCCATGAAAGAATTAAACGAGTTAATGAATCTTCAATTTTTATGTAGTTAGCAACTTAGGGCATATTTGCTAACTGGCCAAACAGTGCCCGATTCTATTATTTTGTTCCCGAAAACAAAAAAAAAGCAAAAATCCGTTTGGTAAATTTTTTATTTCCAAGCACAAATTTGTTCCCAGAATCAATTTTGGAATAGAATCAAGAATAATAAAAAAAGGTTGATTATTGATTCTAGGAACAAGAATCAGAAATGGAAAAGATTTTTTTTTTTTTGTCTTCTTCTTCTTACCTGGCATGTGGCCGGTCACCGATGGCCGACGACTGGCCACAGGCCAAGGCCGGTGAGGGCTGGACCCTCACAACTTGGGCGAGGGCGGCCCTCACCAAATCTGGTGAGGGCTAAACCCTCGCGGCCTGGGTTAGGGCCGCCCTCGATCCAGCCCTCGCCCTCACCGACCTGGGCCTATGGCCGATTGCCGGCGCCGGCGACCTGGCCATGGGCCAAGGAAGAAGAAGAAGAAAAAAAGAAAAGAAAAAAAAAGAAAGAAATATTAAAATATTTAAAATATTATTAATAAAAAAAAATTGTGCGATTATCAATCACATTTCTGTTCTTTTTCTATTCCAGAAATAAAAATTTTGAGCAGCTACCAAACGCCTTCAGATGCTTAGAAATTATTGCCGGGAAAGGAATAAAAAAAATCATTTCTAAGCAAAAATTATTTCCGGGAACAGAATGGTTACCAAACGCACCCTTAATCTTTTGATTAGTTAAATATTCATACATGACTAATCACTTTTATATACACTATAGCTTTAAACATGTCAATATTTTTTTTTCCACAATGCAAAAATGTCCAATATATCCTCAAATGTGAAAACCAACAATACTGGCAAAAATATACATCAAGAACACTAGTGGTCAACTATATGGTCACATCTCAAGGATGGATTTCAATGGGAAAATCATCACAAGAAAGAAGAGAAAATCAATAAGAACACATGCCACGCAACAGAAGACAGGGAGACAACCTGAAAATACCAGATGTTTTGAGAAGAAGATTGCCATCCCCAAACAGTGAATATATCATCAGGGAGACTACATAAAGTTCTAATAAGATAGATCTCGTGAAGCCATAAACGCATCCAAACACCCTTCTCACGCGTCAAAAATATCCCATCTTCATTTACATTTGGGATCATGACGTTAGATATCAAAGGAGACGAGAACAAGGTATCGAAGAATTTAGCTCAGTATGGCAAAGACTGAAGATAATCCATGAAGAGGATACCTTGAGAGGCCTTTGCTCCATTAGTGTCTCTGACTACACTCTTACATCCTCAGCCTGGAAGCGGAACCCATCAAGGACGAATGACCAAGAAGTGGTCAGAATCCCACGAGAGACCTCCGGCATGACAAAAAGGAAGTAGCGCAATAGCGAAGGGGACTTCATCATCAGCATATGCTTTTTCTTCCCATTCGGCCATCGGAGCATTTAAGAAGCATCCTCCCTCTGCAGGTCACTCCACAGGCAAATCGCCTATAGCTATTGTAACCAGCTGCAATATAGTAGCACTTTGGGCGGATGTCTACCTAAAGACAAGCACATGGTAAAAGCATATGCCATCTCATTGAACAAAGATGTAAATGAAACATGCTGTATCGAGATTTTGGAAACTGGAGCAGCAAGGAAAGGGGGATTAAGGGTTTACATGTGTGCCACTAATCATAATTGAAAGAAAACCAACAATAGAAGGACTTTTCAGAACTCTTATCAACATCAGCAGATATGAAAGGGTTGATTTTATAGGCACCGTTACTGCATATTTATGGATTTTCAGAAGAAGAAAAGGTGGTAGAAAGATCTCCTCAAGCAAAAAATGTTTGACTATGTACCCGGCAAAGGATTGAAGTGTCGTCTTCATGGTAAAAGTTAATTGGTAACCTATAACAAATGAACTAACGTGTCCAACTCATTCACTGTTAGAGAACTAAATGACAGCTTCACTACCAGCAAACCCACTTAACCTCAAGTGAGGAATAACTTACTCCATGCCTGGAGAAAATGGTAGCACGCTCAGACGCTATGTACAATGTGAGTCTAATCTTGAAGCCTTAGCCGGTTAAAGAACACCAAGAAGTGATATTCAGGGGCCCAATAGACAAACCCAACGACAGGCCCCCCTTTAATGTACTGCACGGAAAGACATCTTATTGTTAGGAGACTTTGAGGAATTAAAGATCCAGTGACCTGAACAAGATGGAGAAGACTATTAGAAACACTAACCTTCCCGTCCAAAATAACCAGCTCACCGTCCACCCATCTCGGATTTTGAAATCCAGGTTCAGCAAGCCTTCCCTGTCCTTTGTATCTAGCAATCTGAATAGTCATAAGATAGGCAGCTTTTCAATTTATTTGACAAGAGTCATGAAAAATGAGGAATTGAGCAGAGTAGCACTTCAGATCACAAAATAAACTATACCACTCCAAGTTCTTCTGGAATGATTCCTTTATGGGGAAGCTGATATCTTTTACCAATCTTAGCACGGAATGCCACCTGTTCAAAGAAGAGGATACAATGTAAGTTAAATAATCTTAGGAAAAGATGATCAAACATTGAAGTTAATTAAATAATCTTAGGAAAAGCTGTCTACCCCAAGCACAGTAGCAATATCTACGACATAAATTTATGAGCTATAAAAAATTATGAACAAAAAGCAGGCAATTATTTCAACTTATTATAACCTTCCACTGAAGTTAAGCAAACCGTTTTCGCAAACCTTTTTTCATTGTTGAAAGTGGATGGTGGGGTCAATTACTGCAAAACCTATCTAGACTAGCTTCATTTGACTTTGATGCATAGTCATCCTTTATGACTTTACGGGCTATCATTATATCAATAATCCAAACTTAATACATGATCTCAACATGAAAGATGATTACCTTTCCAGCTGGCACATAGCGATCTCCTGTGAGTTTTAAGGCTTCAACATATTCGTAAAACTCGAGTTCTGTTCGATCCTTGGTCGGACCATCCTCTTGCCAGTGTCCAAATTTACGTCTCAAATGAATGACCTCTGAGGAGTAAATTCCATGTGCACCAATGTACAGTCCTGACAAATAAGATTGTATAGGGATATCATCTATTTTTACTTGCAAGTAATGTTTTGACCATGAATGACAATCCATACTAACTAAAGAAGTAAAGTACCACTTAGAGGATCAAAAGAAGTTGGTATTTCAATGCGATTAAAGGTTGTTGATCCAGAAAGGGATCTGTGATTTTGAGCTTGGCTGAGAGTGAGGCTTATCAATTCACCGACATCTTTTAGAACCTGGACCATTGAAAAGCAAAATTACTAGATATCCAAACCTCCAGAACCCAAAAGAAAGAAGAAATAAAGGATGGAATTACTCAAATTACAAGTTTACACGACCTTCATTGGTATTTTCTCCCCACCAATGAACTTGGCAAGATCAAGCATAACTTGGTCAATACTACGACCACTCCGGAACTTAGCTTCCCTACCCACGGAAGACTGTTTCCTGCCGCTGGAGTCCTTTCCACTGACATCCTTAATCATCGAGAAACAAAATGAAGAACGACCCTTTTTCTCTAGGATTGCTGGCACTCGAAGTAAGTCTTTTGTAGGGACATTGGTAGAAAGTTTCTGCACAAGGCCACCAACAACAACTTTAACCGCAAACTCATTTGGCCCTTCACTTTCAATAACTCCAGGAATCGCATCCATTTCCACCTCATCTCTCTCTTGATCACTTTCACTCTTGACTTCATCTTCAGCCTCTAAATCTTCAGTGTCCACATCATCTTCTTCCTCTTCATCCTCCATCATCTGCTCAATCACCTTAGCTATAAGGTCCTTGTCAACTTTCCCTGGTGCTGTAACTTTCATAACCTTGACCCTAACACCAGGAATCATATCTCTCAGAATATTCTGAAAACCAGGAAGTTGCTCAGAAAGATCAGAACCATCTTCCCTACCACTACCATCCTCATCATCTTCTGTAGTGGCAATGACGACATCATTTTTTCCCTCAATTGAGTCTGCTGGATTAGTATTGCTTTCAGAAACAGACAACAAAGAACCTAAAGGAGGATCTTGAATAACTTCCCTCCGCTTCAAGTACACAGCCTGAAAATCAGGTGAATACCTTTAAACACACATGCAAAATCAAGTGTCACAGTCTAGCTAGCAGAAAATACTCCACATACTAAATTTACTGAGATATGAAGTTTCAAAAGTGGAGTCAGGCATGAGTTTCATCTTTCAAGAGAAAACACAAACACAATGCACATGTAGGCATGAAAGAAAGCATATCCTAAGGACAAAAGCAGAGGCATGTCCAAGAATCCAGGCAATTATGCTATTTAACACAATTAATGGAATACAAGCAGAGCATATATGGCATTTGGATAAATAGAGATGTGCCCAACTAGATAAATAAAGCTATTGCCAAGTATCCTTATTCAAGTAATAATAGAGGATGTTAAAGGAATTCCATCCAAGGCCACCAAAAGAAAGTTATGAGCAGTTTTTCCCATTATGTCAAACTGTCAAGACTAATCAGGGGTAGCTATTATTATTTAGTCAGAAAGTCCTTAAGTGACAGTCTGTGGGTTTTTCCCTCACTTCAAAGATTCTCAGATCCCGGGCAGTAGTTGACTATAGTCAACAAAATATTATTGTTTTGATAAGTCCTCTCTGGCATTAATAACAACAAAACATACCCTCAGGTTGCCTCTTACTAGCAATGACATTGTCCACACACCACAATTGATATATTCAGAAAAATTTACCTATTTCTATTCTGTTAACATCATTATTTCCAATAAACATCACACACTGCGTCCATAAGACATATCCAGATATTATTTGCTCTAAAAATAAGCTTACTTTTGACATTTTAGGAGGGCAGAGCATCAATAAAGATCTCCAATAAGGCTTCTCCCCCCCCCCCAAAACAAAAAAAACAGAAGAAGACAAAACCTATCTTAGCAGGAAAAGCGATCTTGACAACCTTTTGGATTTCAATAGCAAGACATTACAACATCAAAGCAAAGAAAATGGCACCATAATTCTGCATTCAGCCAACCACTCTACCACTGAGCTACTGAGGAACAACAGGAGATTAGATCTCAGAGAGTTGCCCAAGCATGCCAAGGGACGGCGCACAGAGACACAGAAAGAAAGAGAGAGAGAGAGAGAGAGAGAGATTCAAATGAAGAACGTTTGAAAAGAACTGTCACTAAGAGCACATTATCTTGATCTGATGACAAATACCCAGGCTACAGATATACCTAAAAGGAAAAGATATACCTGTTGCTGGTATTCGCCTTTCTTGTCCACCTTCAAGAAAACTTCAAACAAGGGAACACCACGTGCGGCTGTCACAAGTTGCCTGGAAAAATACTATATTCAGCAAACACCAAAACGAAGAATTTCACCAATAAACCAGTAGGTGTACTCCAGAGCTATAGCTGGCTGACAGCTGGAACGACCACAAGCAAATTGCTTCATATCTAGAATAAATCTACAAAATGAGTCAACATGGAGCTCATTGTTGATTAGCCATCGCTTTTTATTATAGTAGTTGATTAGGAAAATAGAAATATACAAATGCAGACAATTTGTCATCTATAGAAAATTTCCTCATAGGCATGGATACTGCAAAGCAAATTACCACTGGGAATCTAACCTTGTTATTCGATGTTTCATTTTGCACTGTTATATAAGGCATGACAAGATGTCAGTCGCTAATACTTTTAGCACAGCATGTATCAGTTATCGGACCTTTAGATAAATGGACGTTGACACTAACTATTTGAGGGCTCTTTTTTGCAGCTTAATCTTGACATACAAAAGGAACACTTCAGTATAGATTCCTCCCCCAGTGTAATTTACACATGCAAGCAGCCATGGCACAAGAGTGCATCACAACAACATTCGGATACTATTGCAATCTCAAGAAGCTCTCACTTAAACCTGTTTATGAGCTCACATAAATACAGGTTTGTTTAAGCATATTCAATGGAAGGAAAACAATGAAATAGTTTGGATGAAAAATAGGCATTCAACATCTTGCATTCAAAAAAGCACCAGATAAAGCCGTCAGCATGCTTTTCACTCCATAATCAAACCTAACCTAATCTGACAAGACCATGAAGACATAATGGAAGAAAAGCGGAACATGGACATTGACCCTACTCTTGACCAAAGCATTTAGGCATCAATGGTTGACATTCCCCAGAAACTTGGTTGACGAAAAAAACCCTCAAAGATACAGGCACAAACTGTCTCCACTTAACAGATTATGATACATTTGAGACACTCAAAAAGACTAATATCAGAGACTACCGACCTCTCAGCTTTGTAGGAAGCAGTTATGAACTCACTGCCAAGGTTCTTGATAATTTGCTCAAGGCTGTCACTCTTAAATTAGTTTCAGCATCTCACACGCTTCGAATCTTTTTATCCAGGCATCAAGTGTAAAGTTGACATTGACAAAGCCTTTGATCATGTTTATAGGAATTCCATTCTCTTTTCGGAGAGACATGGATTAAACAAGTTTCTTTATAATGGATCAAATGAAATGTCATTCTCTATGTTGCCTTTCACCAATTGCTCAACCCACCTCCATCACAGCCCTTCTTTATAATGAGAATCTCTCTCTCTCTTTCTCTCTCCACATAAATGTAAGGGGCTAGTCAAGGAGGACTGGAATGACAGGACCATAGTTGACTCTATCACCTCTGGCAAAACAAAATTATGAATCTATATATATATTACAACCTCTAACAATGTGGCTCAAATAGAAAACTTAACTGACAAAAATGATAGATTGCGAGGGTTCGAGCCTTACGCCCGAGAAAGCCTTTTTTCATTCAAATAGTTTTTCGCTTGGAATCAGACATAAATCACATGTGATGAATTTGACGTTAGAAAATAATACTTTTAATTATACGAGCTTACCGAGGACTGTAACTCCTTGCCACATATCTTCCATGCTCTGCAGTAACACGAATTATTATACCATATGGATCATATGTATCATTTGAAGTCCCAGACCACCATCCCACCTATAAGCAAAAACCATGAAATAACAAAGGACATAATGCCATGAGGATGCAAGTATAATGTATTAAATGCTTCAGCAGACACGATAGAAATCCAAACCAAGGTAAGCTGAGAGTTAATCAAGAAAAAAATACAACACAAAGTCTAACTACTTCAATTGCTAATCTTGGGCACTCAAGGTTGAAAAATGAATGAACATGCAAGAATTTGTAAGTGTGAAAAGGATTGGTTTTGTCACCTTATTGAATCTCAACACATGGTTCAGCATACAGAGGCTTGGGCAATGATTCGAAGACAAAGGGAATATTTTGTCGAAGCATAAAAAACAACTAGCACCGACAAAAGTGAAAGTTTGGCCTTAGCCACCAACTGCTTCAACTGGCAATCCCTTAATCTCAACCATCGCACCATTTTCGTTTGCTTTTTTTTTTTTTACTAGATTCTTTTGTGCGATTTTACTCGTCCTCTCTAGTCAATTAGAAAATTATAGGGCTACAATTCCGCTTCGCTTCAATTATTGCCCGAAGTGAAAATGGAAAAACTCGATAATAAAATGCCCAAGAACTCAATCTTCTTAGAACCTTCATCCCTACTTATTTCCTTTCCATATTACCATTGCTAATCTCCTCCACAATGTCTTGTTATCCAGTCTTAGAAATACTGTTCTTCTGAGTTGTTCAACAGAGTTCATCTCAGGAACTACGATGAGGTGATAATGGATTATGGCACCAGATTATTTTTAACATTTAAAAAAAGGAACTCGATGATCATTTTAGACAGAGATTCATCAAACGAGATACGAAGCACGATCATAAACTATCACAATATATATACAATCATAAACTATCACAATATATTTATCGATATATCCAGAACTATTATGTAACAACGCAAGCCTTTCCCAAACTCCAGCATACACTTCTAGGTGTACTAAAGAGTATTGCACTTAGAATAAGCAAAAGCGTGTACCAAAGAAACCTACCAATCCAGTACCAGCATTATCTCGCATAAAAGCTGCATCCTGATAACGTTCTTCATTTATGGCACTCTGAAATTCGAAACAGAAAACAAGAGACAACAAAATGTTAGTGCTGCAGAATAATGGAATCAACAAATGATTCAGGGAAGTCCAAGTTCCTACTTTCAGGCAAGACATCACTCTGCCAACAGTGTCACCGGTGGATGCAGCTGCAATTGCCACCTTAAGCCTCCCGGCTTCTTCATAATCCTCTTTGAGCACAGCATTACTTAATTGTGACTGTTAAAACAACGTATAAATTTAAAAATTTGACTATCATTTAGGATAAACATGGTTAAATTATAAACTAACTAAATCATTCGAGAAAAAAGAATCCGCAGTAGGAGACATGTTTGTAATACGACCTCCAGGTTCAGTCAACTCAGGAAGTCTCTATTTCTTTTACCACCCTCTCGTCATTTCAGATGTCCATATGGTAGACCATAGTAGTAAATTGTAATGTTAAATATGTCATGTGGGAGACTCTCTAGAGAAGACAATATTTTAATCCCTCTAGCGAATCTACAAAATCATAATTCCTGCGTACTTTCTGGCTTTTCATGGTCATACTTTCTGGTACTTTGTCAACATGCGATCGACATCGTATTTATCAAACTATAAATAACACAAAAAGAAGTCGTAACCCTTAGCAAATCACACTTTCTGATAGTTTATTGTCATGCCATTGCCATGACATGGTTTATTGTTCATACTCTCACAAACTTCACCTGTTTCTAAGTTCTTCCACATATCGAGGATACCGAATGTCCTCCTCGTTCCTCCACAACCTAACACTCGTGCACCATAGGTCCAAATGACCCTTTGGGGGTAGCCTACAACTGTATCAGGTTGCCAAGAAATTGACAGCCAAAGCCCTCCTTCGGCAGGTGAAGTTCGTTTCCATTGAAGTGGTTACCTTAGAATCACCAGCAAAGACATGTCTATGCTCTTTTCAATGGGTGCAAAGCATCTGATCAGTGTAAATCAGATGCTCATAAAGCGAAGGCAACAAGAAAAAACGCATGATAATTTTCAGCAACCGGGTTCAAATTGCCAGACTCCTTCTTTTCCAAACTTAAACTACTGCATTTCATGGATTAATCGACTCAGTGAAGAGATGCCATTGAATACAGTGGCCCCATTAGAACTTTTAACAATTACTTCACGTTATCAAACATCAAGAATCCAAAACAGACAGCAGAAAATTTAACCAATTACCCAGATTACACTTTAAAAAAGAGAAATTTGTTTAACATACACATGGTTTCTCAAAAAGCACAAACATACAAAGAGGAAACAACCAGGAACCTTCAATATCGAAAGCAGACGCTCTTGCCCGTCGATTTCCTCAAAGTGCTGCTTCCACCGATCCCAATCCCAGCTCTCCTCCCCATCTCCCTCCGCCGCCACCCCCTTCCTTTCTCCCCGCACGGAGCCGCCGCCGCCGCGGGCGCCCTCGGGCTCCTTCGCGCGCGCGTTCACGTAGGAATCGAACGCCCTCGCCGCTGATTTCAGCAGGCCCCAGATGGCGGAGTCCCACCCCCACGGGGCGGGGTCGCCGTCGCCGCCGTCGCCGGGAGGGGAGGGCGCGCCCTCCGAGGGGTTGCTCCGGCAGTGGCAGAGCGCGGAATCGGGGGCCCTGGAGAGCGATTGCGAGGGGAACAGCGCCGACGGCGGCGGCGGGGAGGGGCTGAGGGACCCCCGCCTCGCGGACGCGCAGGTCGAGAGCCGCGCGCCCGGGAACATCAGCTGGTGCGGGCTCGGAGGCGCCGCCGAAGCCATCGCCGACGCTCGATGCCTCCCCCGCGCACAAGTTCCAGAGAGAGAGAGAGGGGCACGAGTTCTAGAGAGAGAAGAGGCGGCGGAGGAGGCCGACCGGAAGGCGGCGGCGGCGGCGGCGGCGGTGGCGAGGGAGAGAGAGGAGCGACGATGATGCTGACGATTCGGGCCGAGCAGTGACCATGGAAGCTAAGGAAAAGGAAGATAAGGATGTTTTTTCTTTTCTTTTCGACATAGGTAGGTTCCTCTGATGATGACGTGGAATTTTCCTGCCTTTTGTTTTTCTTTTTTCTTTTTTGCCTCTTGGGAATTTTCGATGACCGTGGATTTTTCAGACGCCAGCCAGAACACAGATTCGTTCGTGGTGGGTATTTTTTTTCATGATTCGTGCGTGTGGCCGATGATTAAATGGAAATTTACAAGCGGAATACATTCGACAAAATACATTCGTTCGATGTTTGGTAAGACTTTACCTAGCAAAGGAAGTAGCTACAACCGCCCTGTCCCTCCCCATTGTCGTTTTTTTCTTTTAGAGGGAGGTATGGAATACCTTCTCGTCTTTTGACACCGAATGCACCTAGTCATCATATTTCCCGAGACGTGGGAGCCGCCTCTACCTCCTGTTGTTTTTACGTCCCCGGAATATCGGGACCTAAGCCACAATTGGAACACTCCATCATAGGGTGTTTCCCTTCATTGACTTAGGAGCCTTTTAACGACCTGCTCAGGTTCGACAAATAGAATATATCGATAAAAATATGACGTGAATCAAACGAAATAGTATGATTTAGTTTTCCAAATATGATTTTATTTTATCGTAAATTTTCCATCAATTATTGAATCTAACGTACGGTGTAATTTTTTAATTTGTATGTACATAAGAATTTAGATATCATTAGTGTCGTTTCGCAAATTGAATACTGGTTTGGCTTGTACATATAAATTTTGATTTCGTGTATAATACATAATAGTCTCTGACTTTTATTAACGTGCAATATCATCCTTCAACTTTTAATTCCTATGATATGGTTCATGAACTATCCTAAACATTCATGTAACATGAGAAAAGTTAATAAAAGTCCCCGAGCTATCACGAAACATGCAAATACTTCATGTACTGTTGCAAGACGTGCGATATAGTAAAGGTGTGCATTGATCCCAATCCAATCCGAAACTGGACTAGGCTGAGTTGAACAGACCGGTTCTGGGTGGTTCTTGAAGGGACCGGTCCGGTTCCTGTATCCACAAAAAGATTCGGACCGGCCGGACCACTCGGATGGCCAAATATGTCATAATTTTTTTTTATTTTGAAGTAAATCCTAATTAGTAAATAAAATTTTCTTTTAATGTTGGGAAATTCCCACTCATAGAGAATAGAAAAAAAAACCGAAGAAATCACCTGTTCTTAGACCAATCCTTGAACATGATCAAATCAGTTAGTCTTGTTTGGTTTGCTTCCAAGATCGGATAGGCCAATTCTCGATTCCACAAATAGAAAATCGACCCGGCCCAATTTAATTCTAAGTTCCAAGATGGGAACCGACCCACCATAGAACCGATCGCCCCGACTATATAGCCCCCAAACAATCATGTAAGAACAGTTCAAATGGAACCGCCAAAACTCCTTGTAAAATCAGAACACCTAAACCGGTTCTTTAACCGGTTCACGTGTCGACTCGGGTCAGATGAACATCCCGACCTCATCCTTTGTCGTCGTCGAGGATAAAACGTTAACGGTCCCTCCACATTGTCCACAACCAGTCTCTCTCTCTCTCTCTCTCTCTCTCGCAGAGCAACGACGATGGCGGTTTGCTTCTCTCCTGGCATACACCTTCAAATCGGAGGTACTGCGTGATGCTCGCCTGTCCTGCTAACACAAAATTAGTTCTTCTATTGCACTTGAAGATTGAATTTTCTGGTGGTTTCTTGTTTCCAAATTTTGGCAGGGTGTCGTCCTCTGGCGAGCCAACCATTGAAGCTCCCCTCGACGGTGAGTCTTCTTGATCTTAGTACCGGCTATGCTTTCTGGGTGCCTTTTCATTTGGATGGTTTTCGCGAACCCATGATCCTGCATCAGTGGAGGTGCATCGGTAGGATCTTGTTTTCCGAAAGAATAATGCTGGGTGTGCTAAGAGGGTTCACGGAATTTGGTTTACCACCCATTCGTGCTTGGATTCTAAACAACCCTTTGTTCTGCCGCACCCGCTAATAGTGAACTTAAATTCTGCAAAGTTTCGTAGTGTGCCTGGCGTTGCTCGAAAAGTAATCCTATCATCTGTTGCGTCCTTTTCATCAAGTTAGTTATATCCGACACTTCCACGGTCAATCATGCACTGCTCTTGGATCATGTTACATGGGGCGTTCTAGTGAGGCCCGAGGAGAAAAAAGTTTTCGAGGGTAGACGGTGAACATGAAGAGGAAAAGAGGGTTTAGTAGCCTTTATGCGAATGGCGGGCTTCTGTATGGTCAAATTAATAAATGGCGTCATAAATCTTAACTGATACTGCGGCATCTTAATAGATAAGGTTAAATACCATATGGTCAATGCCGGATGATTTAGAGTGAATTTGACTTCATCCTGTGTACCAACCACCGATTTTGTTGATGGCCCTCCACATCACTTTCCCTAACTCTGCAGTCAGCTTAGTGAGTCTGCCTATGTACCTTTCTGTTGTTTATTGGTTCTTTGGCTGAATCTGCAAGTCTAGTCTGCTCATGCACACGCAATGTTTTTTTTTTGGTAAGGATGTACACGCAATGTTCATTTACCTAAAATTTGGAAATTGACCATGTTTCTGCAATTTTTGTCACCTGGTTCTTGTTTGTCTGGAAGATTGGCATTGGTTTCTGAAGGATACTTCTATAACCTGGAATATAGAGTCTTTGAGCCTGAAACAACCGATTGATAACTGTTTGTAACTTCGTCCGATGAGGCTTTGGTTAGGTAATTTACAGTACATAAGCAGGCAGAGCACAAAGATCCCCAGCTCAAAATCTATTGCCTCAAGAAATTTACTTCATTCTAAAGAAGAGAGCACAGCTGCGAACTGTTGCATTTCCGCACTGTCCGTCTTCATCCAATAGATGGAAATAGAGCCAGTGAGTGCAGCCTCCAAAATTTAACTACCATTACTTACTGATTAGTTCATCCCAACCAATCTCTCATCATCTTGGAAAAGTTATTTCTTTTTAGCCTAGGAATGTTCAAGAAACAGATAGCAAAGGCTTATGTTTTCTGATATGCCATGACCACATGTGATATGGCTTCTACGAAGTCCATGGCAACTCAGATGGTTGTAGTATCTTAGTGAATTGGCTTTCTACTTGTGGCAGAGAAGCTTCAAGTGGCACAATGGAAGAAAATCAGGTTTTCAACTCCAGTCAGTGAGATGTAGCGCATGTTGGGAGGTTGCAGTACCTTCTAGTGCTGAATTGGTATCATCAAGTTCAGCCACTCTGGCAGACCTATTCAATTCTCATGACGCCGTTAGAAATTTTAAGCTTGATGTTCCACAATTTGCCACAGATACCCTAAATGGATTAGTTATCGCAGATCTGGACCCTGCAACAGCGAAGCTAGCGATTGGGATCCTGGGTCCATTTCTCTCGGCTTTTGCTTTCCTTTTTGTTGTGAGAATAGTAATGTCATGGTACCCGAAACTTCCTGTTGGGAAGTTCCCTTATGTAATTGCTTATGCTCCTACGGAACCACTTCTCATACCAACAAGGAAGCTGATCCCTCCCCTCGGTGGTGTTGACGTGACTCCAGTTGTTTGGTTTGGACTGGTCAGCTTTCTGAATGAAATACTAGTGGGTCCACAAGGACTTCTTGTCCTTCTGTCTCAGCAAGTCGGCTGATAAAATTTTGTACTATGAACGTATATGATAATAGATGAATTCTTTGTTCACTTTTCTCGTCTTTCTTTTTCCCGGTCTGAGCTATCCTGCTGCCTTTTCTTGTCATGTATGCATCGGCACTAAAACCAGACATTTCCAAATGGTAATTACAGCATTTTGTTGCCCAACTTTCTGGTGAGCTTTTACTCTGAAAAAACTCATTTCACGGTCAGTGTCTCATACAGTATTCTTCTGAAACGATTGAGTGTTAGAATATACTCAAAATGTCAAAGTGACACATAACAAGGCATGACCCAGCTGAGCCTGCTCAATGTCATAAAGAGGAACTAGACAGGAGCCAACTCTACCTCAGAGAGCCTCTAATCCTCAAGCTTGGTCAGTATGTATTGACTTCTCATGCTGTCACTGAAGTTCCAAGAACAAGAAACTCTGAAAAGTAAGTTTTCTTCGGGAAGACAAGAAGAAACTAGAGGATTCAAAGTATTTGTGGTTTCTCTTGCAGCACTGCAGACAAAGTTTGCTCACTTTTCCCCATTGTAGCATAAGGAATGGTTTGGTTCTTGCTCATTTCCCGGTGAAATTCTGGTAAAAAATATCTCTTTGGCATGAATCGGAGGAAATGTGCAATTATGCTGCCATAAATCATACAATATACACAGATTTCATTCTATTAAACTGGCAAAAGACTACACACTTGCATGTGGAGAAAAATGAAAATAGTTATGGAATGGAAAAATGATCCAGTTAGAAAAGATATATTTAGATTGTTGAAAGGATGAAAGTACCTAAATTGAATTATACAAAGTGCTTGTAATTATCTCAATTACTGTAATATTCGGTTTTATCCATTTTAAATAAGAAACGAATACGGATCTTAATAACTTGCAGGAAAAATTTATGATTATTGTGTGGTTTCTAGTTTTACAAAATAAGAATGATATGGCTTCAAAACCTTACTTGCCCCCAAACAATTATGTAACACTGCACATAATTTGTACAGGTAATAATGTAACTTCATCTTTAAAGGCAAAATTTGTTTAAGAAAATAACAAAAGCATATATATATGACCTTTTGACCTTATGACCGCTTACATGTCTCTATTTTGGCAAATACTATTTAAGTAAACCCCACAGTAAAAAGACCAGATTGCTCCTCCTTATAAACTCATTTTGGCATCCTGTTTAGATTCGGACGGTTTAATTTTCACCTAGTTTTGAGCATTTTGGGCGGTTGCGACAAATCATGAATTCAGGGATGGATGCTTTTGGAAAAATAAAAATGACAGTTTTCGTAAATAGAGACACGAGGATAATTTATACTGTTCACATTCCTCTAAACAAGACTACATATTAAAAAGATCAAATTGCATCTCCTTATGAACTCATTTTGGCATCTTGTTCATACTCGGACGGTTTGGTTTTAAGTTAGTTTTGAGTAATTTGGACAATTTGGGATTCCGGGGGAGGGGGGTATGGAGCTTTTGGGAGGAAAGTGACATTTTCGTAAATAGAGACACGAGAATAATTAAAGTAAGGTGTAAAATTGTAACGCAAAACTTAAAGTAGGGCAAGGCATATTAGGCTTGTTTTCGGGTAATTTTTTTCTAGAAGTACTCGTGAGTAATCTTGGTTTGCATTCGCCATATTGGGATTCTAGAATTGGCTAAGACGCTCAAATTTTTTCCTCCTTTTTTTTCGATACATAAAAGCGGGGCAAACAGCCCGAGCGTTACACCTTTACAATCCTCGTTTTTCAGGTTGATCGATCGAAACACCCTTCCTCTCTCTCCCCTTGGTTCGTTGTTCTTTTTTTTTTTGTCGGGCTAACCGACGGGAAACCGGCTTTATTTATCGAAAATAGCAATTTTTTGTTCTCAAGAGGGAAAAAAAAAGTACGAGGACAAAAAAAAGATGGAAAAAAAGAAGAAGTAAAAAACGAGGAGAGGAACAAATGGAGTGCCATTATTGACCGGCTACCGGCAGGCCACCGTCTCTTTTTCCCCCTTCTTCTTCCTCCTCGTATCTGCAACTTCCATGGTCACGACCGCATCCTCTCTTTCTCTCTCTAAAAACCTTAGCTTTATCGAAATTCATGAATTCTGGTGGCGGCCCTGAAGAGCATGGGCAGTAGCTTCCCCGCTCTCCCCGCGAAGCGCCGCCCCTTGCCCCTGCCCTCGGCAGCCATGCCCGACCCCACCCCCAGCCTCCCCGCCGCCGCCGCCGCCGCCGCGAACGGCCCGTCCTCCAAGCGGTCGAGGGCCCCTCCCCAGCCCCTCTCCGTGCCGCCCGGCCACGCCGCGTTCCGGCTTCTCTGCCACGCGTCCCGCATCGGCGGGGTCATCGGCAAGTCCGGCGCCACCATCAAGCACCTCCAGCAGTCGACCGGGGCGAGGATTCGGGTGGAGGACGCGCCCCAGGAGTCGCCCGACCGGGTCATCACCGTGATCGCCCCGAGCGCGGTTTCCGCCAGAATCTCGGTCTCGCTCGACGGCGGCGGCGGCGAGAGTCGTGACGAGAGCCCCGGGGCGAGCGACGGCGACGGCGATGTCGAGGGCGGCGAGGTGGAGGTGTCCAGAGCGCAGGAGGCGCTGGTGAGGGTTTTCGAGAGGATCCTGGAGGTCGCGGCGGAGAGCAACGGGGCTGCCGTGGGAGTCGGGGTGGTTTCCTGCAGGGTTTTGGCGGGGAAGAGCCAGGCCGGGTCGGTGATCGGTAAAGGAGGGAAGACGGTGGAGAAGATAAGGAAGGAGAGTGGCTGCAAGATTAGGGTTTTGACCGAGCAGCTGCCCGCGTGTGCTGCTGCCGGCGAAGAGATGATAGAGGTAAGGGGGTGCTTGCAATGTTCAAGGTAGAGTTATGCCCGTTTGGATATAATTAAAGAGTCTTAATTGTTGCCGCGTGGCGGCATTCGCTCTTTTGGAAAGGTTTTAGCATATGTATAAGAAAGTTTGCAACTTGAATAAGCATGAAATATCTGGTGTGACTATCGAGGCGAGGCCCCGTTCGGCTTTCTTCCGGACCTCTGGAAGATTGTTACTTTAAATGATATTGCTTAGCTAGGATTCTTGCGGTGGCATTACACGAACGAAAGAATGCAAGAGCAATGATGTCCAGGGTCTTCTGAGAAACTTCAATGCGTGATAAGATGGAGATGTCTCTGATATACGCTTCACAAGTTTACATGTACAAAATGTCATTTGGTTTTCTTGACTGATAAAATTGACTGTCTAAAATGTTGCATCAATGATCAATTAGGTGTTGCTAACTTATGGTTCACCTCATGGGAAGGGCGATGGGGTGGTCTAGTTGCAAGAGATTTGTTTCATAAGGAATACAAATAGCTCGTCTGCTAGTTTTATTCAGAGTTTCAACCTTATCTTGTTGTGATGCTATTATCATTCACTCATGTCACTAGGATATGGGAAAGCCGTTTTATAAGTGGAGTTAGTTGAACCCAAAGGATGCCATAGGGAATAGAGTGATGTTTCTCCTCTTTGAATTATTATAGTGGTGTTGCTATTTGTGTAAGTGTCCATTCATGTGGCAGATCGAAGGGGAGGTTCATGGAGTAAGGAAGGCACTTGTTGCAGTCTCTGGCCGCCTTCAAGAATGTCCACCGGCTGATAAGATACCTGACAAGTCTCGGACAACTGGTGGCAGAACTCTTGATTCTTTGTCCCTCCAGACTTTGCCTGACTTTCATGTAGATCTTCCTCAGCGGAACCCAGTGTTCCCCGCAATGCCAAGTGGAGCAGTTAGTTATGGTGCAGGAGTTCATCCTTTGGCTGTTGAAGTGGACAGGGCCCCTACCATCGAAGCAAAAGCACTTCAGCAAGAAGTTAGCTACAGAATTCTTTGCTCCAATGACAGGGTTGGGGGTGTCATTGGAAGGGGGGGCTCCATTGTTAAGGCTCTTCAGAATGAATCAGGTGCTTCGATAAGTGTTGGACCTACTGTAGATGAGTGTGATGAGCGACTAATAACTATTACGGCTTCTGAGGTGTGTTATTTGGTTTCTTTTACTAATTTACATCCAGTTATCCTTTGATGGATTGTGATGTAGGTGATGTTGGCTTTGAAATACAATGCAGAATCCCGAATCACGCTACTCACCTGCACAAAAGGCTGTTGTTCTTGTTTTCACGAGGTCAATTGAAGCTGGCGCTGAAAAGGGTCTGGATTCTGGCTCAAGTAAGGGTTCTCCTGTTACTGCTCGTCTTGTAGTCCCATCGAACCTAGTTGGTTGCTTGCTGGGAAAAGGAGGCTCTATAGTTTCAGAAACACGGAGGGTAACAGGGACTAACATTTGGATAATGGTGGGTGACCAGGTCCCTAAGTGTGCTTCAGAGGATGATGAAGTGGTACAGGTGTGATGCCGCAGCTTATTTTTAATTTACCATAATTTTCTTGCGGAAAAATATACTTGAGTATATGAGCAGTTTGAGCTTTTAAGTCAACGTGGGGTTAATGTTGTATGCTGCAGTTTGAATTTGATGTTGAAGGCCTAAAAGTATAGTGGTTCAACTGGTAAAGAGTTGATTAATCGTTTTGTCAGATTCCTTATGGGTCTTTGCAAGTAGGCAAGCTTATCCATCTATCAAGGATCAACTATTTGGATTCTCAAGGTTTTTCATGGATTCTTGAAAATGACCTGAGTCTTAAGGTTTTTCATGGATATTACAATTATGTCATCATGTTGTGATTCATCTTGGTCATGTGCAAGAAATGTGGCCTATGTTCTATGCAAGATGAAGCGCAATATAATGGAGCTATTAAGTTTGTAGGTTTTGGAGCCTCTGTGCAAATTCTGTTGCAAGCCACTGAGAGATGTGCCATCTCCTGGGTTTACAAGAATTCATGCTAATTAGTTGCTTGTTACAGTGTTATTAATATTCTGGGGGATTTACATGAAACTCTTAAAAGTTGTATGGTTGAGATTTGATGATAGCTTTTGGTGTATGCTAAGGTTCTTGTGTGTGTGGACCACATTGATAACTTTTAGCATGTTGAGTGAACACAACTTGTTGAGAGTAGTTTGCAGATATACGCAGGTTTCTTCTATATCCTAACTAGTCTCTATAATGCAGATTTCAGGGGAGTTTTCTAACGTTCAAAATGCGTTATACAATATAACTGGTAGACTGCGAGATAACATTCGTCCCAGCTCATCGAACAATTTGGAAAGCAGGGTGGCTTCCTCTGTTTTGGCAGAGACTAGTCCTTATGGAAGACTAAAGGATCCTGTTGCTCTGGGTTTGGACACATCACCAGGTATTTCTCCAGGTCTTAGCAGATACACAACTTTGACACCTAGTACAGATCAACTTGGATTAAGGCATCATCTTGATCGTCCTTCCCCACCAAGGATGTGGACATCACAGGTGTGTTCTCTTTGCTCATATTTCTTTGGTGCATGCTTCATGTATGTGGGGATCAAATGGATATTTTTCTGAGCACATTCACTTCTATGGTCATTTTATTTGCAGGGAGTTGCTGGAGTTCCACAAAGGAGCATCTCAGATGGTGGCAGAGGTTTGACATCACTAAGAAGTGGTACAGAACTTGGCAGGTTGGTAGTCTGTGGTCTAGCTATAAGAGCATATCACATTACTTTTTTGGTCTAGAATATGATAGGTGTCATTTAAGGGTAAAATGTGAGCATTTAATAAAAAAAATATATCTCATAAGGATTTGGGTTTAATGGATCATGTTGGCTTTTCTTTCTTTTTGAGGGCGTAATTGAGCAATTTCCATGTTCTAGATTTTCCTTATCACATCAAAGTGGGGCCCATTGATTTTAGTATTTGAAGACTAAGTCACAGCAGTCCATGGCAAGAGACCTGCATTTTACTGTTTAACCATCAATTCACTATTGATACTCTTTGTGGGACTGCAGTTAACTGAGATTCTCAGCCTTTGTTCTTGAAGCTTGCAAACTTATTAGCCATTCGGTTTCCAAGTTAATAATTCCTATTAGTGAATTTTGAAACATGTCTGCAGTTGTGGAGACCGAATTACTTGATCACAGCAACTGCTAGATAATGTAAACGGTGCTTCTCTTGTGCATACCCAGAGGGTGACGTGCCTAACTAATATCAAGAATTTGTAATGGATGCCACAGAAAGCACATTTCTTAGGTTTTAGCCTTGCAACTCTTCTGTTTACTAATCCTTATAACCTAACTTGTGCAGTGGGAATAAATCAGCTATTGTGACAAACACTTCGGTCGAGATCGTCGTACCTGAAAATGTCATGCACTGTGTGTATGGGGAGAATGGTAGCAATTTGACTAGACTGAGACAGGTAGACTTATACATGCTTGTTTGGGAGATTGCCTGCTTCATTTGGTGTGCTTAATTTGGCAAACATAAATTCTGCTCTACTTTTCAACTTGTGTTCGTAGTGAGTTGAAATGTTTCCATCCCTCTCTTTAAGCCCTCTTCCTACAGAAGCACTTACGTTTCTGTGCACGTTTTGAAGGCCAATTATATTCTTGCCCGATTCTATGTGCCCTTGTTACTCCCTGAACTCGAGTTGACTGAAACCCTGGGATATATGACTATCTTATCTCAACTGGTGTTTGATACTTCTGTTTGTTTCTGTTCGGCATTTGATTAGTTGGCCTAAAAATTTATAGACTACACTTTTGTTTTGAATGCAAATAGGGTGAAGAAATCAAATTTAAGATCTTTTAGGTTGCCGAACTTCCGTTCCTACATCTTTTGACTATCCATGTATAGCATGTTGGAAACTATGGAAATTTTTTAATTGGTTCAGTGATGCTTTGCTCTTTTCCCTAAATACATAAGCTACATTTCACGTGAAGTTGCAAAATGTCAACATACCATTCTTCCTTTCTTGAATATTAAAGTAAATGGAAAGTATCATAAAAGGGTACTGGGTTTTACTTCCAACGGATAAAACTAGATACAAGAGATGAAAGTTCAACATACCATTCCTGTCATTCTGTACTGTATTCAATCTGTAGCTATCAGTTTTTGATTTATTATATATAGCTCAGTCCAACTTATGTTTACCCTATGATGCCTTTTCAATAGATTTCTGGTGCAAAGGTTATAGTGCATGAACCTCGTCCTGGGAAAACTGAGAGGACCGTTGTCATCTCCGGCACGCCGGATGAGACTCAAGCTGCGCAAAGTCTTCTTCATGCATTTATTCTCACAGGCTAATGACAGTTCACTAACGAAAGCATCCGCTCTGCATTTTTTAGCGGTTTTTACTCTGTAAGTCGTACACAAACATTAGAAGCCAATTCATTTTGAGAGATGTTTGTTTTAAATTTCATAGTTATTCTTTTTCCGAAGAAAGTTGCTTGTCTTTCTTTCTTGTAGATTGTAAATTAGGAATTAGAAAAAAAATCAAAGGTCTATTGCAATTTTCTCCATATTTAGTTTATTCATGGATCGAGTTTTTTCTCTTTAGATTATTCTTTTCTGCAGGGAGTCGATTCTTTTACATACATGTACGGTGGAAATAGGAATGAAGTACCTAACAGTTGCTGGCCAAAGTCATCCCGAGTTTATACATATTCCTTTTATTCACAGATAAAGTGTCTTTCTAGGCAGTGTTATGAGAACCCATGCGGGCATCATGCCCAAGCCCGAGAGAGAGAGAGAGAGAGAGAGAGAGAGAGAGAGAGAGAGAGAGAGAGAGAGAGAGAGAGAGATGGGTTGCGCTGGGGCCGATGCCATCGTGGTGGTTGGCCTATGCCATCGTGGTGGTTGGAGGTGGCGTGACTCGGTGTCTGTCAAGGTTGAAGCTGAAGCAGGAATGAGAATTTTTGGACTGGAGATTTTGAAGTTTTTGGGGCCAAGGGTATTTCCTTGATTTAGGGATAAGTAGAATTAGGGGTGATCGGTTTTCGATCCTGTCTAGTCCAGTCCCACCCAGGAACCGAGAATTGGACCGGTCTGATTCCATAAAACAAATCACTTGTGCTTCCTTCGGCAGGTCTTCCGTAAGAAAGTATGCGAACGCCAACACAAGGAGCAGGAATTGCAGAGACTTCGCTGCTCGGTGGTTTTTTTGGCTTTCGTCGAGATATTGCCTCATGTCGGGTTTCTTCAACCAAGATGCCCAAATTCAGTCAACCATGCTCGCTAACAACATTTTTCCCTCAGCAAGGCAACACAGAGCACAAGCAAACCGACCAAATAATCCACAGGGTTTCCATGTAATAAAACAAATTTAATAACATTTGCAGATTTCAAATGAGCAAATCTCAAAAAACAACTCCACAAGTCGATCCCAAGAAAAAACTATATGCAAATCCTCACTTCAATAGAAAGTCGAGCAAGGAAAACTTACTGATTACAAGAAAAGGCTGTCCATCTGAGACTAAGAGTCAAGTGAGAGCCGAGCGCCGTTGATGTCGAGCGAGGCGTGAGGCGAGGCCACAAGAGGAAAAGTAGTGAGAGCCAAGCGGCATTGACGTTGAGCGAGGCGTGAGGCGAGGCTGCGAGAGGGAAATGCGAGAGGGAATTGGAAAGGCAGATTAACATTATTAGGGTTTCTACTTTCTTAAAAAATTATATATATATATTCGATCTGATCCGGTTGGTTTGGTTCTCGACTGGTCACTGGTTCCAAAAATGGGAACCTGGGATCGGACCGGCACCCCTTGGAATTGCCTAGAATTGGCTGGTTCGGTCCGGTCCGAGCAGTTCTAAGTTCGGTTAGTTCGTCTTGCTCATCCATAAGTAGAATGTTGACTGACAATAGCAATATGGCCCAGTAAAAGGGAGTGTTAATCAGAGGGAGGAGCACGGGGCCAGTGCAGCTAGCACTCTTTGGTCATGCCTGTTTGAAAATGGAGATCACACTAGTATTCTCATCTCTTTGGCAAGGAGTGTACAATCTTTTCCACGGCTGGAAACATTCTCAACGATCTCACAATTTCTTCTCGCTTCGTTTACGTTGGGCGAGAACATTTAAAAGTAGACAAATCCCGCATTGTTAAGTAGTTTTGAATTACGCAAGATAACGGGATCGATTTGTATATAAATACAAGAATTTTGTCTAGGAGTGCTACGGATGCACTTGTCAAGAAGTTGATCATGAAAACCTTACAGTTTTTTAATGCACCGACTTCTACTTTTGTGTGATATGTAATCAGTACTCTAAAAGTTTGACCTATACCATTACGACGATGCTTAATTATATCTTTGTTAAGGCTCCATTTGACCATATAAGATATGATGATAAAAGATGATAGAACATGGAAAATCTCTTCTCTTCTGTCACGTGTCTTATTGGTAAATGATCCAACATGGGAGATGGACTCGTATTGTTAGATGGTTGATCTGTTCATCAACTCGGATCCATAGAAAGCAATCGCGGCAAAAAATTAACTATCACCGTCTTTCATGATCGTCGCAAATGGTCAGTAAGTAACATGTTCTAGCTAGAATCCAGTGCGGAATGAATAATCTTGGTCGTTGATCCCGTGGATCTCACGTGCATTTAACTTGATTTAGACTTTTAGGATTCACCAGGTACACATGGATTGGGTCTGTGCTAGTTTTTTTTCTTATGAGGCCATAGAAGGTCTTGAAGTGGGAATAATGTGAAACAACTCGAACAGGAAAAAGCGATGACTGAATGATTTGGTGTTTGAAACTCTTCAGGAACTTGCTGAAGTCCCTTCAACAAAGTTATCGTGTCGACTTCCATGTCTCATAGCCTGATCATCGGTAGAATTTGACTGTTGTTGTTGCCGGTGCGAGCCGCCAACAATATAACACAGTCGATGGGTGTAAAATCTTGAAAACGTATAGAGAACAGCATGGAATTATATTGCGTGTCATAGAAATTTTAACAGCAGAACAACATAGTTCAAACTCCAAACGAAATATACGTATGGCCTTCACAAACCAACAAGCACACGGAGGAAAATACAAAGCTCGCGAACAAACACATAGCACTTATTTATTACCAAGCAATGCTGTGCATAATCACAGATGAGTTGCCTGTCCTAGTGGAACAAAACCGCTGTTAAGCGTACCATTTGCTCATGGGCACGTCTGTTTCCGATCTGGATGTCCTACCTTTTGTCCTCTGCCAATTCGGGTCTAGTTTCCTTGAATTGATGGAAGGAATTGGTGCGCTGTTCTTTTCAAGCATGGCGGAGAGCTCAGCAAGCCAACCCAAGTCTTGTGCGCTCTCTGCAATGTCATTTTGTTGAAAGGGGTTAGTGTCAAGTACGACTCCATTGTCCTCTATGCGAAAGTAATTATCATTCTCCAGTGGCTTCAAGTAGACGTCGCTCTTTGCCACTTCAGCTGTCTTCCACGGGACAGAATTGTCGAAGGGGCGGGTGCGCCTGTATGGCTTTGGATAGCCCTCCTCGCTACCGGAGATTCTTGTGGTACCATAAGCAAGTTTATAATCGCGCCACAGCTCGTGCACAGACTTTCCAAGCAACTTGACGAAGAACGCCTCAGAGTAGGAATCTTTCATGAGAGCATTAAGCTCCGCGACGAAACCGTGCTTGAGGTCATTGCAGTAGTCGAGAAAATAAGCCGTGACTGCATAACCATCGTCCCATCTTGATCCTGAGCCCTTCCTCGGCCAGCCTTTGGATGCGTACCCGCCTTTCAATCTCACGTAATCAGCGATGCCGTTGATAAGCCCTCTAGGGGCCATGCCATTGCCGGTCCATTGCCAAACGTGGGTCATTTCGTGGTACACCACTCCGGCGAACTCTTCTTTTATATCTCCTCCATAGCGTTGGAGATAATCTGCGTTCAACCGAATTACGTTGTCTTTAGTGCTGGAGACTGCATGTGGCGACTGAGTGAAGCTCTCGATTCGGAGAGTTACCATATCATACTTCTTGCCCTCACCTTCCTGTTGATTGAGGGTGTTCAAAACTTCTTCAGTCGCGCCAAATAGAACGCGGGATATGTAGCTGCCCTTCAATTCATCGACATATTTGTTTCCTCCAGGGGCTCTAGCGGAATGGTCGATGATTTTGTACATCGTCGCATGCGTCGATGTCAGGGAAATCAAGAGCAGGAGTGCAAGAACAAATTGTTTCGGAGACATTTTGAGCTATGATGGTTGGATGCTCGATCGGTTTCACAAGAAGATGTGACTAAATTTATACACTGAATAGAAGAAGAACAAGACAGGAAGTCTTGATTAGTCAGTCCCTCTGAGAGCTATTTTGGAATGACATGGCTAGTGTTTCTATAGTTTAGGTTTTCTACGTTGTTTTGGCCGTCCTCTTGTAAACTGACGAGAAAGTCGCCTAATGGGCTAGGGAAGAGGAACAAAACTGTCACTCTCCTGATCATATGTTCAATCGAAGTGTTGCATTTGTCTTGGGCAACAAACACTTCGAAGTTTCCTGGTAAACCCGACGTGAATGCGTCCAACTGAATAGTAACGAAGTCTTGGGAAAACTCGACAACAAGACATTTGGGACCAAAGTGTTCATGCGATGGTTTTTAGGAATCTATGATGATCCTAAGGTTAATTCTAACCATTCTAAAAATAAAAGAACAACCAATGTTATAAAAGTGCGGGAATTATACACCCAAGTATTGAAACGCATAACTAAATGTGCATAAATGAAAACCCAATACTTGTCGGGCAAAGAATACACGTGGCTTTATTCTAGGCTCCAAGACATGATCCCTCATGAGCTTGACCTGATACCAAGTCGAGTAAAGAATATACAAGGCTTTGTTCTTAAGCCCCAAGGCATGATCCTCGTGAACTTGAGGCTAGAGACTATGTCCAATTCCTAGTTTAAGCTAGATTAAGGCGGGCCTACCTTCTACTCATTTTATTAGGAAAGATGGTACTAATCTAGACTAAGCTACATATTCATTAGGAGATCGATTCTACGTCTAAATCGATTTTTATTTTCTAGTTAGACTATTTGATTAAGTCTTATCATTAGTTCACATGTCAATTTACTAGACTAGTGTAGTTAATATTAATGCTAAGCTAATGAACCTAAGCCTAATCACCACCAAGGACCACCACCTCGAGCTCTTGCCCACTGGTTTTCATTGTCAGTTAGATCATTTATTCATGTTATCACTTAATCCACACATAAGCAAGTTCACTCAATCCACTAACCACCAAGAAAAAGCGGGTTTGATTTGGGATTTGGATAATGACATGTAATTCAATTACCCATCTACCTTGTAATCAACTATGGATTAATTAATTAATGTCAAGTGAAAACTAACCCCATTTACAATATCCTCAAACGGTGAGCTGGGTCACTTAACACCTAATTAAGCTCTAATCTCCATCCCTAAGCTACCCAACGAAAGGGTCATAACTCGTAAATCGAAATTAAAAGCAATTAATTATCAATTTAGTCACAAGGAAAGTCAAATAGACAGGCATTGAGGCTAATTAGCCTTAGAAGCCGCGAAATCAATTAGTTGACCAAAGGGTCAACTTCTCTATTTTACCCCTGACTCTGACCTCTAAGTTTTAATCCAATTGAAAGCCTTAACTAACTCCAAATTAAGTGATTCCAACTCACAATTAAATCTTAGGATGTCCTCTTCAACTTTCATTAAAATCACTTTTCCGAATTATGGCTAAATTAATACATAAAATTAAATTAATCTCGACTGCTCCATATTTTATCCTGTTCTGACCTGACTTTTTTTTTTTTTAAATTCGGAAAAAAAATACTAAACGACCACCGAATGGAACCAAAATCCAAGTAATACACTACTCTAACAAACAATTCAACTAAATTGCGCTTATTTGTCGACCAATCAACTCTTATGCGCTAATGAAGAAACTCGTTTTTAACGAAGGTCCATCTTTGTCTGTTACTCATATTGTTCATTACACGTAACTCACACGTGAAACTTCATAAATTTTTTTTGACCAAACCGTGCTTTGAATTGATTTTTGTCAAATTCTATGGCTTCACAACGCCCTCAACTATCATTTCTATATAAATCTATAGCTTGACAACTCCTTAATCGAACCTCATAGTTCAAAATTGACATAACTTCGAATTTATATCCTAACTTCAAAAATTTCTCCGATTAGACTAATGATGGGCTTGATACTAGGGTTGATCGGTTCTCGATCCGGTCCGGTTCCAAGGTGGAATCGAGAACCGGACCGGGAGAACCGGTTCCCAAAATTGAGAATCGGGGACTGGACCGGTTGGTCTTAGGACCAGGAACCGGTCACTTAGGGGTTAGTTTTTTTTTTTTTGGGTCAAACTCTTAGGATTTAGTTCATATTTTACTAATTTTTGTCAATGAATTTATGTCAATGAAGTTCACTTAGGGTTTAGTTTACATTTTTCTAATTTTTTTGAAGAAAAAAATTATATATATACATAGTTGACTCTTAGGATTTAGTTCACATTTTACTAATTTTTGTCAATGAAGTTCACTTAGGGTTTAGTTTATATTTTACTAATTTTTTTGAAGAAAAAAATTAATATATATACGTAGTCAGTCCAGTTCGGTCCAGTTCCCCCTTGGAACCGGGAATCGGACTGCCTGGACACTGGTTCCACTTTTAGGAACCGGGAACCGGACCGACACTCCCAGTAACCGGACCAAACCGGTTGGTCCGGTTCGGTCCGGGCGGTTTGTTTTGCACACCTCTACTTGATACTTACTAGGTGTTGCGTAACGAAGTTGATTTGGCCTGTGGGGACGTCCGAAACGGTTACGTGCGAAAATTTTCCCTCTTTCTTCGTTTTCTCCTTTTCCTATTTCACAGACGGGCTTCTTCTATGTTCCTCGGTTTGTTTGCTGGCTTCAATGGCTTCAACATGTATCATCCGTGAAGATGAATGAAGTTGGGCTGAGGGCTTAGGCTTTGGGCTTTCCATATAATATTTTGGCCCGATATATAACGGTATCCGTCCATCTTATTCTACGTTCATCAATTCCATGTGCTATTTTTCCTCCAATTTGCACATGAGAAAAGGTGTCAACATATCATACATTGCTTGTGAAAGATTAGCCTTCCCAATGATATCAATTTGTCCAAGTTTGTCAAATCAATAAAATAATTCCAAAGTTTGCTTCCTTGTGCACGGCATAGCAAAGACAAGACCATCCGTTTGCAGAAGCGTTTGAGCAAATTCATGTTGTGTCCCTCTTTTTCAATCTGTAACAGCTCGCTGTTACGACCCAAATTTTGATTCTCAAAACTGGAGCAGTGATGCAGTCATCAACCATCAAAATTGATTCTCGCAGCTATGAAGCCAATCAAACAACCTTGTAGAAACTATATGGATAGGCTCTACATAATGGAGGTATTGATACGTGAGCAGCTACTCATCCTTCGTTCTTACTAGTGATCATGTATGTTAATTCATTTGAAGTAGGACTTCATAAAATTTACATTAGAGTGTTATAGTAAGAATTAACCTGATAGGAAAATAAACAGCAGAATTCAGTAATATCTCCAAACAAATTAGCTTCAGGCTTTGAAATTCAGAGTCCAATTGCCCAGTCCTCCGTTACAGCCACCATTTTTCCTATGACAAGATCCCAACAGTTTTAAACCACGTTAACCGGCGGCTCGACCTAAATCGATACATAGCCCCATTTTAGGATGCGGTGTTTGAATCGTGAAAGATTGTAGCATTTTTTTGGCTCCGTTTGTTTCGCGGAAAATGAATAATTTAGAAATTTTTTTTCAAAAAATGATCGTTTGGATCACTTACAAAAATATACGAACTAAGAATATTTTCATCCTCCATGAAAATGTTTGGTCATAAATTATTCTCGATACTGAAAATAATTTTCATCGACTGATTATTTCAAGCGATATAATCGATCATTTTTAGGAAAATATTTTTCGAATCATTCATTTTTTCGTGAAATAAACGGACCCTTATAATCAATGGGAGACGATACACAATTTGCACTCATCCAACTGGGTGTCTGACGGGCTCGAGTTGGATGGGGGCGGGAGATGGTTACAGAATTCGTGCGTCCCCTCGTGTCGCTTTGTTTTCCATCCGGATGAATGAACAGGCACACAGACTAACTGCTCATCTCGACGGCGATCGACGTTTTGTGTAGAACAATAGGTCATCATAGACCCAGAATTCAACGTTAATCCCATTTATATCATCTTTCTTTTTTTTGTGAAAGCGTGGTTCCCAAGCGAAGCATTTGGATATGGTCGGACCTCAAATTTTTCTGCGTTTTCTATGTCAGGCAGCGAAAGGTCCTCAAAACTTGGTGACCAAGCACTCGACCGGATATAAAATGGTCCCCCAAACTTCTCCACGTGCATCTCTCTCTCTCTCGTTTCTTCCTCTCTCTCTAGATGGCGCGCCAGACAAAGAAGAAGAAGCAGCAGCACCATGGCCAAAAGGAAAGCCAAGACCAGAGAGAAGAGACCACCGGCTCCTACTCTTGGCCCGACCTTCCACGGCCGCTTCTCAACACCGTCCGCAACCACCCACGCCTCATGCACAACATGACGTTTGGTGTCACGACCAAGTCGTGGACATCAAAGCCAGCCCCATGTTGCCCATCGAATCGGCTTCAGCTCCAGCTCTTGGACACGAACCCCGAGACCGACATCACGCATTTCAGCATCGTGTTCCCTCAGATGTGGTTGCATCACGGGAGGTTCTTCAGGAGGGGACTGAGCTACTGGCACCCCTGGACTTACCTGGTCGGGTACTCGCACGACGTCGTCATCGGCCGAGGCCAGCCGAGGCCTTCCGAGGTCTATCTCTGGAATCCCGTCGAGTCTTGGTACTCGTCTCTCCCGCCTTGGGATTGCAAAGTTCCGTTCAAGCGCGCGGTCCTGAATTTGCCCCACGCGGACTGTCGGAGGAGTTTCGACCCTGCTGTGATGGTGGTGACAGGCATAAGCCGCCCAGCTTTCGTGATCTGTAATCTCTACAGGGGGCAGCTGGGTGAGTTCAAGTGGGTTAAGTATGATTGCAAAGTTGAGGACCCGAATTATGGGAACAGTTCAGAGCGGCGTATGGAGTTCGCCAATGCCGTCGGTGTGAATGGCAAGTTCTATGCCCTGAGTTTGCAGGGGACGCTCGCGGTTATAGAGTGTCCGGATTCACGCGCTGAGATCATCGCCCTGTGTCCAAGCAGGGCGGTTCCTAATGCCTTGTAGAGGAGCTTCAGGGAGTATTTGCTCGAGATCGACGGTGAAATTTTGGTGGTTTTTCTCGTGTCCAGGAGGACGGCGAAGGTTGTGGATGATGTTGAAGTTCTGAGGCTCAACGTCGATAACTACTTGTGGAGCAAAGCGAGTACCATCGGGGATCGAGCACTTGTCATGGGAGCTAATTGTTGTGTCCATGTCTTGGTGAGTGATGAGGGGTGGTGCAGGAGAAACTGCATCTACTTCGTGCAGAAAGCAGAGGATGATGTTTGGTGGGTGTTTGACATGGAAAAGAGTTGCATTTCGCGGTGTTGGGATGAAGAAAATTGTCCCGTTGAGCTGAACTTGATGATTTAGGGCAGTGAAATTTGTTTAGCTGACTGTCACTGTGAAAAGAAATAGTCACGACGAATTTTTATCACCCATTTACATTTACCGGTAAGAATTGATGATAACACTTCTACTTCTACATCGATAATAAACCCTTGGACTAAGAACCGAACTTGCCGGTTGTAGGCCAATTCGTAGCTAGTCGTTGGAACTGGTTCTCGACACGGATAATGTTGAGCATAGATCAGGACGAAAATTTTGAGTTAATGAAATGATCAAAAGTTCGAATTACTAGACCTGTCGAGTGCATAACGAGCAAGCCCCCAAATGACTTGTGCTGTGTCCTTATAGTTTCCAAGCTTGCTTTTAGCATTCATTGATTTCTGATTCATGTTATTGACTACATAATCATTGAAGTCGCCGTTACCCGGGCCGTCGCACGAGGTCCTACCTGGAAATCCAGACTTGAGATGAGTAATAGCCACTGTAACAGAATATGATCTGTATATATCCAGTCATGCCTCCAAATCTTCAATATGAAAGTCCAAAAGTAAAGAGCGAAAAGGAACAGTAATTGAAATGTGAGCATGTATACATGTAAAATTAAAAACAGAAATGTTAGAATATAAGTCGGAATATTCACTCCATAAAACCCTGTAACTCAGTCCTCACTCGAAAGCAATGCAGAAGATGAACTGCAAGATTTCTGGGAGGACATAGTGTGCAGCAACTCGATTGGTAGAGATGGAGGTGCAACGTATGTTGGGACTGGCAATTTCGATGGGAGAACAGGAGGCAAAGCGTCAAAGTTCAGAACAGTTATTACTCTGCTTATGAGAGGCCGTTCCCTAGGGTCCGGATGAGCGCACCAGAGGCCTGCGATCATCAAGCACTCCATTTGTCTCACATCAAAATCCTCGCCTAGCTTTGGATCCACTGCATCGATTAACTTACCGACTCCATAGAGCTCCCAAACCCACTTCACAAGTTGGACTTGGTCTTCTGCCGCTCTTGACTCTATAACTTTTCTTCCACACGCTATCTCTAAGAGGACAACTCCAAAGCTGTAGACATCGGATTCCTTGCTTGCCTTGCCCGTATAGATACATTCAGGAGCCAAATATCCCATGGTTCCAGCCAATAGAGTAGTTTGTGACCCTTTGGCATGGTCAACTATCCGAGCCAGGCCAAAGTCTCCCAATTTCGCATTGAATTCCGAATCGAGCAGGACATTGCTCGACTTTATATCCCTGTGCACGACGCATTGTTTCAAATCCTCGTGCAAGTACTTCAGTCCTAACGCGATGCCTTTAGCAATGTTATACCTCTTTTCCCATGTCAATGGCGCTTTATCTTTGAACAAATGAGAATCTAAGCTACCGTTAGACATGAATTCATATACGAGGAGGAACTCATTTCTCTCGTGGCACCAGCCAATGAGTTCCACTAAATTTTTGTGCTTAAGGTGTCTAATGGTCTTTACTTCTGTCGCATACTCCTTTAGGCCTTGTTTGGACTCTGGAGTGATCTTCTTTATAGCAACACGAGCATTCACATCAGCGAGCTGGCCTTCGTACACTCTGCCAAATCCCCCTTCCCCTAGCAACCGGGCACTCGCAAAATTGTGTGTCGCCATTTGCAACACCCTATAGGAGTATTTCTTGGGTCCCTTGGACTGTTCAAATCCTTCATCAATTGATTGACAATCATCTTCTTCTACATTTGTACCATTTCTATTTCTCCTTGGCCTATAATAGTACCGGCCAAATCCTGCAACAAGGAGAACCAAGACAAAATAGCCTAAACCTAAGATAGCCCATACCCATGACTTGCTATTTTTGCTTTGAATTGTACCACCCGTTGGTGTGTCGGGGATTCGTAGAGTGGAGCTGAATTCCCATGAGAAAATAGAATGAGACTCGAAATATGCTCCTGTTGCAGCTGAGAAACCGAAATTCACCCATTCTGGCAAGTTCTCCGTCAGGTTGTCCAGCTGATAGTGGAGGCTGGTCGAATTATTACCAGAATCTCCAAAAACAACACTTAAATTCTTTTCTGTAGAATTAAATGTCACCTGAGCATGAAGTCGTTCACCGTTGAGTATGCTGTACTTTACCCATGGGACACAAGCGTGACGGACAGAAACTGTAACACCCGGGTCTACACTGTGTAATATTGTCCGCTTTGGGCCCACTAACCCTCACGGCTTTAAAACGCGTTGTCTGGGGTAGGGCCCCAACCCATCCCAGTCCAATATTGTCCTATTTGGGGATCACACACCCCTCAAGGCTTTGTTATCAGCACGCAGCGAAAGCTCATGTGAAACGCGTTGTGTTGGGTAGAGGCGCTCTCTGGCCTTTCCTCCCCCAAGCCCAATATTGTCCTCTTTGGGGCGCTCTCTGGCCCTTCCCCTCAAGGCTTTGTTCTCATCATGGTAACGACCCGGTCCGACAAGGGCGGGGAGTGGTCGCCGGGGCCAGAGGGCCTGGACAAGAAGCGGCTCCTGGCAGGCTTCTAGGATGGCAAGGGTGGGCATGTCTCTTGTCCCACATCGCTTAGGGGGGAGTCCTGGGCTAGTTTATAAGGCTTGGGTTCTCTACTCTGTGTAACGCGTTTTAAAGCCGTGAGGGTCAGTGGGCCCAAAGCGGATAATATTACACAGTGTAGACCCCGGGTCCTTACAGAAACCATGCTATCTACATCGATACCAATATGATAACAACCTGGATCCAGCTGTTGATTTATGAAAGTATCGAACTCTACCGCAACAAATGCAACAGTGGATTTGGTAGAGTTCGTGAGGCCTAGAGAGCCTCCTATCGAGCCTTCAGGAATCTGTGATCCGTTGGGGGCAAGAAAGAAAGCCAATCCATCAGCAAATTCTGTGTGTTTCGTAGAATCGATGGCAAAAGTAAATCTACAGGTGAAATCTGCCACATTCCCTGTCGAGCTATCCCACAGGTGCATGGGTTGATGATATAGGGCTCGACCAACTATTTCATTTCCGCTCTGCGCTGCCGGGACTATAGAAAGTTCCATTGCAGAATTCAGTGGGTTTGCATGGCCCTGGTATGTTATGTTCGGATCATTTGGTTGGAAGGATGTGAATTTGAAAGAAATGTTGTCAAAGGATTCAGAAATTGCAGATCGAATGATTATGAAAAAGAAGAAGACTGTTTGTGCTAGAGCCCTTTTTGTCGAATGCACTTTCGCTGAGCTGCGAAACATTGTCATTCAGAAGCTGCAAAGACAGCTAATCTCCTCGTTCACTATATTTCTCTTTGTAGAGACAACGTGCAGCTGCACGCGATATCCTGAAATTTGAAGGAACATGTAGCTAGTCATCTCATCAAGTGAATGATTAAATGGAAATAAAAAGGTTAACTGCGCAATCTGGTGTTGATATCCATGAAAAGAAAACGTTTGAGCATTACATACTATATGCGGGGCGGGAAAGACTTGAAAGAAGCCATCTTATAAGTGCTTTATCATGATTCACGATCATTTTCATAAGAAAAATCCAGCAAAAAACCCATGCCAAGTCGGTTGAAGGGTGTACAGAAATTAGTTCAAGTTCAAGGACTTGTTTCACCAATTTTAGCACAAGGAATCATCTACCCCAACTCGCACCGCGCAGTCATATTCGCTATTTTCCCATAAACAAATTACAGGAGCCTGTGTGGTTAGGAGGTGCATATGAAATAAGAAAAGTGAAGAGGTTATATGATGAGATCACTACAAATCAAGAAAGTACGGCCAAGATCTACTTACTACTTACTCAAACAGAATCAAATTGCCAAGCATTGCATTTGCTTTTGTCCATCCACTAATCGTTCCATCTTCTGTTCCCTCAGAAAATTGGGACAAGTAGCAAGTGTAACCATTTATCGCAGAACATTAATATTACCCCTTTCATGCTTGAGAATTGGACATGAACGATCTCATGTTATTTGGTAAGGCCAATAATAATTGTAATACCGAGCTCTGTTCCTATTTAGGTCAATTGATTAATGTTGACAAGTTCGACTATCTAAGCAACGAACAAATCTTGGCCGATATTCAGGAGTTTCCAGATTCACTACTAGGCGAATGTTCCCAACCGCTAACACTAACATTAATTTAGCAGCTAGCCATGTTACTCGATTAACCTGTAACACTATATCAAACACATATGTTTACTTTGGAAAAGAAGAAATGAAGCAACGTAAAGTGACAGGGAGCACATTAAAAATGCAGCATTTTGCCACAACCCAGCAAAATGGCATTAAGAACAAAGAGAACAGCATGTGACAAAATCGAGAATTCCGAAACTAAAACAAAGTATTTCCTTTTATTGCCTTTACCTTTGGAGCTTGGATTGCGGATGTCAGACTTGTCATGACAAAGCCAATGAACACTTCACAGCGAGGATGAACAGAAATGATATAGAGCAGGTTTGATTATGCTGCAGGTATTTATGTTGAATTGACGAAAACTTTAGCAATACATGAGGGCCAAACTGAAGAAGAACAAGTCCTGTTCAAGGAAAAGAACTAGTGCTAAGGAAAGAGTCTCCATTGAATATCTTTGATGGTTGACTGGAATTTTATGCCTTCATTCCTAATACATTTCTTCTTCTAGATAGCTATCTTCTTTTTTTCTTCTCATAGAAAATTCGTACTAGTGTGCTAAGGAAAGAGGGAGTCCCAACCGTGCTATGCGTTTCTCAGAAGAAAACTAGTTAAAAATATTCCCCGACTATTGTGAACTACAATTTCATTAGTTTCATTGTATCTGTTTTAGGAAGCAAGCGATCGAACAATATAATAGATAGAATAAGAAAATAAATCGAACATCAGATTTACGTGATTCGGTCGAGCGACCTACGTTCATGGAAGAGCAGCAATGAATTCTATTATAAATCAAGCGATACAATGGAGATTACAACCACACTTGAGCCACTCAAACACTCTCAATGTTTCCTAGCCCTTAATTACATCAAATAAATCACATAGTGTTTAACCCCATAATTTCTCTCAAAATAATCTCTTAATTTCAACAAGGAATTAACAAATCTTACCACAAGATTTAATCAGCCTGAACACTAACTTCATTAAATTTTCTAAGAACAGAATAATTAGCAACATTACCTAACCACACTTTTTTGGGAGTCCGACATCCTATCGCAATCGACGGGATCTATTCACCAGGTAGCTTGCCGTACTAAGAGCATCCGCTTGAAAGCATTTTATGGGCCGTCTCTAGTAATGTTTTTCTTATCAACTTTGCAATCTGTTGCGTTCACTAGCACTAGTGCGGTGTTTCCCTATGCCTTCCTTTATGCAAAATTCGTTTAATAGCTTCGAGCAATCTCCATTATCAGTCTGCACATGTTTGATTTTTTTACCAATCTCCTTTTTGATCAAAGCTCTCAACTGCTTGATCCTGACAACATCATCATACTTTTGCCTTGGAATAAACGCCCAAATATTCCTCAAAGGAAACCGCGACAACTTGTCAACATCCAAGTGAATCAACTCTGCAATCTGCGTGGACTTCTTTGACAGCGTATTAAACTGCACTTTCTGCTGTTTACCTGAGTGGCACTTGCGTACATTTAGTTCATTAGCCACATAATAGATTTCTTTCATATGGAACATTTAGGCTTCTCTCGTTAATGTGCCCCAAACATATGTGCCACAATTTAGACTCTCGAACGGATGCATCCAACGTCTCCACGGGAAAATTCATCACTGTCTCACCTTGAAACTCATACATGCCACTATGCTTGAATCCTTTTATTATCACCAAGGCACCTCGATTAATTCTCACAACTCCATATTCTAAGTATATCGGACCCACTTGAATTTAGGGCACTCAAGGAAATCAGGTTATTCTTCAACTCTGGAACATGCTTCACTCCAGTCAATGTCCTCAAAATACCATCATGCATTCTGATTCTAATATCGCAAACACATACAATATCGCACTCAGTGTTGTTCCCCAACTATATTTTACTGCTATCTGTGCATTGATAAGTAGTAAACCGATTTTTATTTGGTGTCGCGTGAAACGAACATCCATAATTCATAATCCATCCCACTACAAAAAAACCGGGTTTTTCCGACGAAAATTTCCGACGAAAAAATTTTCGTTGGAAAATTTGCAACGAAATTTCCAACGAAAAATAAATTCGTCGGAAATTTCCGACGAAAAGTGCTTCGTTGGAAATTTCCGACGATTTTATTTTTCGTGGGACATTTCGTTGCAAATTTCCAACGAAAAAATTTTCGTCGGAAATTTCCGACGAATTTTATTCGTGGCAAATTTGCAATACGAAAAATGATGTTTTTGATATCTGTCCCGACCCCTAATTTCTCTCTGTCGAATGATTCCTCTTATCCCCTCGCTGTTCTCTCTCCGTCTCTCTCTTTAATTTCTCTCGAATTACTTATCGGTGCACGCGCAAATCAATCTCGGTAAAGCTTTTTCGCCGGTAAGTGTTGTGGCTAATTTCATGAATAATTGGCGACGAAAACGGTTCGTCGCAAAATTATTCATCGCTGGATTTGTATTTGTTGGTGTTATTAAAATTTTTTTTTTCCTTTCCTCACTGGTTTGGCCGATCGCCGGCCATGGGGCGAGGTCCGGTGGCCTGGCCATGGCCGTCGGTCAACCTCGCCGACGCACAGGCGGGCTAGCCTCGCCGGCCAAGCTCGCCGGCCATGGCGAGCTCGGCCCCGACCAGCGGCGAGGCTGGCCCTCGCCGGCACCGGCGAGGGCCGATCTCACCATGGCCGGCGAGCTCGAGCTTGCCCAGATGTGGGCGAGATCTGGGCCTCGCCGGCCATGGCAAGCTCGAGCTCGCCGGTGGCTTGACTGGCCCTCGCCGGCACTGGCGAGGGCCGAGCTCGCGGGCGGCTTGGCTGGCCCTCGCCGGCACCGGGCGAGGGCCGAGCTGCCATGGCCGGCGAGCTCCGGCTCGCCTGCACCTCGGCGAGATCCGGGCGACCTCGAGCTCGCCGGCGGTTTGGGCGGCCCTCGCCGCCTCGGCGAGGACCGAGCTCGCCATGGCCGGCGAGCTCCGGCTCGCCTGCACCTCGGCGAGATCTAGGCGACCTCGAGCTCGCCGGCGGTTTGGCGGCCCTCGCCGGCACCGGCGAGGGCCGAGCTCGCCATGGCCGGCGAGCTCGAGCTCGCCCAGATCCGGGCGAGCCGGAGCTCGCCCGCGGCTTGGCGGCCCTCGCCGCAGACGGCGCGAGGGCCGAGCTCGCCATGGCCGGCGAGCTCGAGCTCGCCCGATCCGGGCGAGAGCTCCGGGCGAGCTCGACCCTCGCCGGTTCCGGCCAGGGCCAGCCTCGCCGCCGGCGAGCTCGAGGTCGCCCAGAACTTGCCCAGGCGAGCTCGCCAGTCGCCGGACCGGCGACCGGTCAAGAAGAAAGGACAAAAAAAAAAGAAAAAAAAAAAGAGAAAAATATAAAAGATAATTAAAAAATTAATTTTAAGTCATTTGTTTTTATTTCTGGTACGTGTCCATTTGAAGGTCTCGCAATCCAAGTGAACGTTGCAATTCTCATCAAATAGATCACTTTCTACTACAAAGGTTTCAGTCAAATACTTGGTAAGTTTTCTTGACATGGTAATTTTTTCATTTTTTTCAAGTTGAAAGTAATTATTTCGTAAAAAAGAAAATTGTAATTGTTAGAATTTTATGGTTTTAATTAACAATATTAAACAATAGATATGATATTTTTAATATTGTACGAGAATTTTTTTATTTTTATACAGACACAATGCAAAGAGACAGGGGTTGGATGTATAATAAGAACCTACCTGGACGTCAAGGATTGACTGATGAGTTTCGAATCGGGGTGGAACTATTTTTGGACTTTGCTAGTAATAAATATGAGTTCATGGATGGAAATAAGTTAAGGTATCCATGTAGAAAGTGCAGTAATGGAAAATTTCAAGACATTGACATAGTTAGAGAACATCTTTGTAGATTTGGGTTTACTCCGAACTATTATAATTGGACTTACCACGGTGAACCATTTATATCTGATGACGGATATCGAAGAAGCGACCAATTGTTTGTGAGGGAAGAATGTAGCTATTATGACCAATTGAATCCATATCAGGGGATGGTGTTTAATGAAGCAGGCCATAATTTTTTTCCAGAATCGAATCATGCAAGTACTAGTTTAACTCCTACACTTGAACAAGTGGGAACTAGTCATGCATCACAATTG